TGGTAGCAATATTCAATAAATGTATACATATGTTAAGCTTATAAACAGAGATTACCTCTTACTGGACTTACTGGCTTATTGAACAGTTACACAAAGTGTAGCCCGAAATAGAGCTCCCGCAATACGAGTTTTTACACTAATTCATATCCTACCAGGTGTCCAAACCATCGATCTTTCTGCTGGTGGACTGAAGTCCCCAACTTCCATCAAAAACTAAGCGGAATGTATCAACTGCAAAGAAAACTGCCTTCCCTCTCCCCAATTGTTGGAAAACGAACATATTTATCAAACGTTTTTCTTCATTGAAAGCAGCAGAATCTTTGCAGTGGCACACAGCAAACGGAATTCAAAATTAACATATCGTTTTTAGTTTTAACAAAATCGATTAAAGCGCCATCGTGTCCCTGAATTGTCTAGTCAAGGCTCGATTACTTAAAGGCCGCCGTAGGATGGTAGGACTCAGGGAAGGACATACAGTAAACTACGGTTATAACGAACTCAAAGTTCGTTATAAGCATATATACAGCATAACTACAGCAAATAGTCGGGACCCAAAAGTAAGTTTGTTATATCCGTCAGTTCGTTATAAGCGCGTTCGTTTTAACCGTAGTCTACGGTACTTCGAACAACTAATTTTCAGTGATCCACTCCTATACTTTTCAAACCTATGTTACACCTAAAGGAATATATTTCGACAGGCAATCGTTTTATTACCCCCGTGTTTGACTGTCATTTTTAAGCTAGTTTGGTTAGCTTGAAACTTGCTGACTGCAAATGAGACAAATAGAACATATACTACCTTTTACGCCACTGGTTAACGAGCTTAGTTATTGCTATTAATCGTGTTGCTTTGTTAAGGGTTTTACATTACATGTTCGGAGTGCTATTCAACATTCGTGATCAGATGTCATTCATCTATGTCCTGTTCCTGCACGTTAGACACGCGTTTGATCTGTAAATTAAGAGCGCATATCAGTTTAATAAACCGCCTCCGTTGTCTTGTGGATAGAGCGTCTACCCGGAGATCGGAAGGTCTATGGCCCGATCGCCTGGCCGCGTCTTAACACAAGACAGGAAAACATTATCCTTGTAAACAGACCAACAACCGAGAAATGTTTAATATGTAGTATGAACACTGGCGTTTGTTATCATTGTTTGACGCTGTTTAACTCATCCCAAAAATAGCGCATTATCAAAGAGGATAAATTGTACAAATATAGTATTATACAAGCTAACCATCAGGTGATACATGTGTTACTTTATACCTAATATAAGACACCAATAGGTATTCCGTGTCAGAATGCACGTGGAGAGGGACAGGGTGGTCAGGGAAGGAGGAGGGAGGGCATTTTATAAGATATTTTTTCAGCTACAACTTCAAAACCAGATATTATTTATTTAAGACTGTGTGCCTAACAGACATTTTGTGACCTGCATTGGACCTCAACTTTTAACTTAAATATCGGGTTTGCGCTTTGCTTCCACCTTGAATTTCTTCTGTGACGGGTATGCCCAAATATGCCCGTAACCCTATTTAGGCTCTGTCCCTCGGAATGTGATTGCATTTCTTACGGATTATGTCTAAGGCCAGACCGCAAACAATCAACAATCAGCAATATTACAGCTATATGACGGCAATGTGTAAATAATTGAGTCTGGACCAGACATTTCAGTGATTGACATCATGAGCATCGATCCACGCAATTGGGATCGATGACATGCATCAACCAAGTCAGCGAGCCTGACCACCCGATCCGGTTAGTCGCCTTTTACGACAAGCATAGTTGCCTCCTACGACAAGCATGTGTTGCTGAAGACCTATTCTATCCCGAATCTTCACGGGTCATTCATCGTATCCCGATTGTTTGCTCATGCTCTCAAACACTGACCGGACGAAGTAAATATGTTACAAAACAGTTATGCGGCGTATATCAAAATTCATAGACACATTGTTACGTGGAAAATACAATATTTACAGACTATGTCGAGAAGTCGAGAGGCAAGGCAGACTATTGCATATTTTCCATGTCATGGAGATGTCAGAACATATGGTGAATTATGTTTCGTGTACAAGATCAGCGGCCAAGGGCGGACCAGTCATCCCAAGCACCAGTTGCTTCCCTTAGTTGTGGCATAATCCGATGATAATGGGTTCGAATTTCAGATCTTCCGTGATTTGTCAGCACCATACTGTCTAGCGGGTTTCACCAAAGTGGTAAACATCTAGGACTGTCTTTCGCTGAATATAATCGCGGAGATGTATTGGAGAACGGTCCATGAACGTTCCATAAGTGAGATCCAATTAAGAACTGAACGTTAGTTTGGATGGGTTCATTGAAGTGTGAACGATTTAAAAGCGCTGGTTACACTGTGTGAACCTCCGAGCTTGTCAGACTGTAACGAACCGGAAGAAATATGTCCGGGAGAAGGTGGCTGTTTCAAATAACATGGTCAGTTACCACCAGATTCAAACATTACTTCCCTTATTACGGTAAAACACATTTGGAAAAATGCTAATTAGAAATGCAACCCGAAGACATGAAAGTTGAACCGAGGCGAGCAGAAAAAAACAAACAGGCGAGCGAGTCTGCACGTTTGCTGTTTCATTCATTCTTGGCCTTCGGTTTCAAAGGTTTGTTTGGACAATGAATATCCATGAAAGTCGCTAAATGTCCTGTGCATGACGATACACGTGAGTAGAAAGGAATTCCCTCGACTGTAATATCGGGATTCCCCGACATTCCGAAGAAATAAAAGTAGTGCGCCTCGCTGGGCGTGGCTTAAATTTTTACATTCATTGGGAAATGAATGCAATAACACGTGACCAATTCAACTAATCAGAATGCAGGAATTCCAATGAACAAAACGAAAATTTAATTATTTACTTGTGTTGAAAATTACGATTATGGATCAGTTATGGAAAACACCCCCGACGCGTGAACCCTCTCATGGCTCTAGCAAATTGGGAATATCACCGATTTATGAATGTGTTGCTTGTGTTTGGATAATCGCAAACCAGATCGGACGATGCGGAATGGACTGGTGGGGATTGAACCGAGTGCTCTGAAACTTGTGTGTTTTGTGTTAATTGTCAACGTCAGGGTGTGTTATCTTTGGAGTTTGGGATTGTCGCGTGTGCTGTAACACTTTGCTTAGCTGGTGTTTCTTGTCACCTGATATGGACCTACTGTATGACCTGATGCCAGCTTCATTACTGTGCCCCGTCACTCCTCATGTGCCGCCGCTTCTCGGCCTAGAATGCACGAGGAAGCTCGGCCAACTCAGAAACCGGAACAGTAGATTTCGGTCCTAATTCCGTCTACGGATATTTTCTCGTCTCCGATGACCAATCGATAAAACAGGTAGGCAAGTTTTGGGTTGTTTTTTTAATTTAAGTTTCTTTCCTTACCTTTTTATGTTTTATGGTTTCTCAAAATCTTAGTTTTTTTCCCGATACGATAGTAAATAGGTTTAAGTTTGGGATTGATCAGGAGCAGTCGCGTTTGCTCTGTGTCAGCGGCCACATTTGAGCAGGGTACGACATTGTTTTCATTGGTGCTAGATTGCTGTCATTTCCGAAAACAGGGGATCAAAGTCAATATCGCTGAATAAATCAATTCCGTTCACCTCAGTAATTTTACAGAATTAATTTTCTTCACTTGCGTTTTTAGTATTGAAAGATAGCCATTCCATACCCAAATCACTGCAAGGACAATCCATTTTGTTTCATGTAGCAGCGGCATCAATCACCAGAACCAAAGCATTTATTTATTTATAAGTAAGATGAAATGTTACAAGACCAGGGGAAAACACTAACTTAATTTATATATATGTTGCTGATAAATTAAGGTATTAAAAAGAAAATAGAAAATCGAGTTGATCGTAAACACCGATCGAGAATTCGGGAAAACCCCGGAAAGTAGTTCCGGCAAAAGTTCACACGATCAATTTCACAAAAAATTGTTCACAGGTGTGTGAACTCCAAATATCAGATCACGTGACTACCCCTCCAGCAAATCAGCATGAAAGGAACAGTGTAAACTCTAAAGTATGAAATTATTAGTTTGTGGTTTGGTGGAATCATAATCTAAACCCGTTGTAATAGGTGAAGTGACATTGGGTTTAACGTCGCGTCCAAGATTATTGCACTTATATAGCAACGTGCATGCACGTGTGTGTGCGCGTGTGGCTGTTTGTACTAGTCCGGACTGATGCCGATTTATAGTGCTAGCTCACTGAGATACCATGCCGCAGTTTAACATGAATACCCCACTCAGACACAGTATACCGACTCCGAGCCGACCAGTCCTTGTTTTAGCCCCTTAATGCCGAGCGCCAGACAGGGTAACAACAAGTACCATCTTTTAACGTCTTTTGGTATGACGCGACCGGGGATCGAACCCCGAACCTTCCGCTCTCCCGGCGGACGCTCTGCCACTAGACTACGGAGGCGGTCCGTTGTAATATGTGTGAACATATTCAAGTATTGACTGGAGCTTTCTTTTTGAAACCCGTGAAGGTCCGGGTTAGAAGCGGTCTTCAGCATACCATGGTTTTGTAGTAAGAGGCGACAAATTCGTCAATGTCAATCACTGGACTGTCTGGTGCAGACTCGATTATTTACAGATGCAGATGGAATACTGCTGAGAGCGGCGTTAAACAAACAAAAATAACAAAACTTTGTTTATGAATAATATGCATTAAATATCCCCAATCACGTGCGATGATTATTTTTTTCTCTTCGACAGATGTCATTCAGAAATTTAACAATTTATCACTTTTTCTTATCAAGTATGTCTTAGTATCCCATGTCTGTTATGAGAAGAACGTCGTTTCAACATACAATAACTATGAACCGACATATGTTATCAATCCTACGTAGCATTAAGATTAACACGGCTGTGTCAGCGATTGACGTCTTCAACATCTCACGTCGTAGTACTGTTGGTATGTATCTCCTTGTTATCTGAAGTAAAACATAGCGAGTCTGTTGATGAGGGTACTGCCGGGAGGAACGTGTTCAGCGTCCCTGCATCTCGTGTTCGGTACACGTGGTTGCTCTCATACTTGTCTCTTGTACAGCGTAAAAACTAGCTAAGCTAATCTACAATCTCAGCCCGTGTCGCCTCTCATATATCATATGTTTTCCCGCCGGGCGTACTTTACGTGGAGGCCTACCCTCTGTCTGATTTTGCGGTTCGGTTATAGCTCTGCAACATGATGTGGTGTATACAAGTGTTGCTGCTCGTGTCCGCTGTCTCAATGGGGTCGGCGGAGGTTTTCTCCGATGACCAGGCGAGTAAGGTGGCAATGTTTGTGGAAGAGGTCATGCGGTGTAGACAGGTCCCCGGGCTGACCCTGGCTGTTGTGAAGGGGGGTGAGACGTGGACACGGGGGTTCGGACAGGCGGACATAGAACAGGGAGTGAACGTCACCAAGGATACTTTGTTTGGAATTGGATCTGTGACCAAGGCTTTCACGAGTACCCTCCTGGCCATGATGTTGGATGAAAGTAATGGAAGGTATGTCATAAATACACATAAATGATACATTCTACCGATTCCTCAACTAGCAACTCTATGACACTATTTCTAGATGAGTGAATATATAGGCACGAATACAATAACCTCATAATAAACCTATATCAAATGCTATGTGGTGCGATGTTACGTCGCGTGGTTTTGAATCCTTGATTCGCATCTGGTTTGTCAACACCAGATACCTGCTCTCGTGGGTTTAAAACTTACGCGGTTAACCTATATTAGTTTGGGCTTCCTTTCCTAACGCTGACACGCCTCGACTGGTTTAAATTTATTAGACAGTTATACCTCCTCTAAGAATCTTGCAATTCGGTTGGTTATTCCTTACCGCGTGACGAAATCATGTGACGACACTCGTAACACGTGACTAAATCATGTGACGACACTGACCTTGAATATTGACTCGTCACATGATCATTATTAACCTGTCACGTAATGAATACTGACTCGCCTGTTAGAAAACAAAATTGCGTCTGATACTAACATTTCACGATTTGCAGCTATGTTACTGTAATGAAACAGAGGTTGGTTTAAAGCCTTCATAAACTTCAAACGTGAATTTCGGTAAGACAAAAGGAATACTTACTCTTGACGAGATCAGTATGCGAAAACAAAGACCCGAGGACCCGACCCTGAAGAGATCCGGTCAGACCACCGAAGAGGTCTGGTCACCGGGTCCTTGGTTTCACATATTGATCTTGGACCGCCTCCGTGGTCTAGTGGTAGAGCGTCCGCCCGGAGAGCGGAAGGTCCGGGGTTCGATCCCCGGCCGCGTCATACAAAAAGACGTTAAAAGATGGTACTTGTTGTTACCCTGTCTGGCGCTCGGCCTTAAGGGGCTAAAACAAGGACTGGTCGGCTCGGAGTCAGTATACTGTGTCTGAGTGGGGTATTCATGTTAAACTGCGGCATGGGATCTCAGTGAGCTAGCACTATAAATCGGCATCAGTCCGGACCAGTACAAGCAGCTACACACACACATACACGTGCATGCACGTCGCTATATAAGTGCAATAATCTTGGACGCGACGTTAAACCCAATTTCACCTCACCATATTGATCTTGTCAAGAGTAATCATTTGTATATAATTGTCCAAAAATGGATTTAAAACCAGGTCACTCTCTTTCTCACAGTAGATGGTCATGGTCTCGTTTATCAAAGGTGTTTGTTTCCTCTACTTCACATTAACAATGTTCCACTGAACAATAATTACATAATGGATGGTTTGTATGAAGTACTATGTATACTCTAGCATCAACAACACAGCAGGGATAAAGCCAGCACTTCACCCGATACTAGAGTGATTGAATATTTAACGCCCTACAGGAAATAGTTTAGGCATGAAACGACCTGTGCCATTTAAAATTTCATTGGAAACTTTTAGTTTTGGTTAATAATGTGTATAGTATGATAGCGTACCTTGTGTATAAGAATGACTACAGAACGACTAGAAGTTATCAAGTTATACAAACTTCAGGATATCCAAATCAAATTGATTTTGTTATAAGATCATTGCGTTATTGAGTATTCTGCAGTAATTGAATGTTGATGAAAAATGAATTGTCTCGAATATAGATTCAAAACTATTTTACACGTTTTTGTAAAGGTATATTTCAGAATGGCACCCAATGTTTTGTGTTTTTATCTTACAGGCATATGTTCATGTTTATATCAGTCCTATACCTATCCACCCTCACGCATGAAAATGTATACATACAACGATTTGGGTCTCTGCAATTTACATCATTAATTTATATACAGTGACGAATAGTCGAAATGTGATGAGTATGAGTGAGTGTACCTAGTTTCCCTTGTATATTGTTGTTGCTATTCGTGTATATTACTGTTACAGTTTAACATGGACGTCAAAGGTAAAGGACGTATTGGGTCCAGACTTTGCATTTGTGGACAAGGAGAGAACAAAGGAGACTACTCTGAGGGATCTTTTGACCCACCGCACAGGGCTACATCCATCGGTCTTGCCCCTGTTTGCTGGATTGGACCCCAACTTGACGAGAACTGATTTTGCCAAGTGAATATATATTATGATTTTACACGCCAGAGTATTTAGTTTTGAGGGTATCCTGCTCTGTCATCTAGGTCGCCACAATTCGGCGGCAGAGTTGTCTACCGTCAGGACACCTGGTGTCATCACTGATTTTCAGTAATCAATTCATAAAAAAAATTCACAGCAATTCGACTCTTTGCGCCAATCTGTTTCGGCAAGTTTTCAAGACATGGTGGTTTTTTTGCATTGACATGTTATATTTATACTTGCCAGTGTCCTCTGAAGAAGAGGGGTAGAAAAGGTCTTCAGCACCCATGCTTGCCGTAAAAGGCGACTATGCTTGTCGTAAGAGGCGACTAACGGGATCTGGTGGTCGCTGACTTGGTTGATATGCATGTCATCGATCCCAACTGCGTGGATCGATGCTAATGATGTCAATGACTGGATTGTCTGGACTCGATTCTTTACAGACCGCCGTCAAATAGCTGGGATATTGCTGAGTGCGGCGTTAAACAACAAACCAACCAACCAACAGTGTCCTCTGAACGTTTTTTCGAATCAAATATTCGTCCCGATTGGGATGCTTGGTTTATCAGCACCATACTTGTGCTTGTGGGTTTCACAACCTGTGTCACTTTGGACTTTATTCCCACACCCCACGGCCAAGTCAACGAGCCTTTCAAACCGATCAGTTTAGTCAGAAACAAACAAGTGTTGAATGCTGTCCTGGGATTCGCACGGGGTTAAACGAGTATACTACACACGCTTAGAAGGTTTCCCGTTATATTGACTTGGGGTAATATGAGGGACTTGCAACATGATTGTTGGTGAATGTTTCCACAACATGCAAAATAGTGGTGAACGTTACAAGAATTGAACACTGAAACTCATGGTGACAACAGGACCCACATGCACAAAACGATCTTAGCGCTAGGACTACCGTAAGCCTATGCTAAAGTATGGGAGTTGCTATCAACTAAGCGCTAAGATGGCTTTGTGCAAGTGGGCCCAGGTGTTCGCGACAATCATCTCCTGAACTCCCGGTAATATTGATTACTCTTGGCAAGGTCATGCTCATTATGCGTACAAAGGATTTCGGAAGTGGTCTGTCCGACCCAAGACCGCAGTCATCGTGTACTTGTTAACGCATTATGGTTTGCCAAGCGTATATTAACATATCATATACCCATAATTACCCCACACTGTAACACAGCGACGAATGAACTATTGGTGTTTATGCTACTACTGTTCTTTTACGCAGGCGTTTCCGCTTTCTTCCGGAAGTTAAACCATCCCGTGACGCCTACCAGTACAATAACTGGGTGTACGAGCTGCTCGGCCATATTGTGGAAGTGTTGTCAGGGGAATCCTACGAAGTCACTCTGGAGAAACGAATCTTCAAGCCACTGGGGATGAACCAGTCACGTGTCCTGGGAAAGACGATAACTACAAATGCAACAGGAATGGCAAAACCCTACTTTGACGTGGAGAACGAGCTCATATTAACGGATCCCTCCATTTACGAGTGAGATAAACCATCACTTTTGCTTAATAATTAATTTGTACAATTGAAAAACATACCACTTGTTTTCAGCTTATGCAGATTGTTAAGAATGTCAGGTGGTAGGTATTCATGTATCTACGTTTGCTGTTTATCACATTGAGATCAGCCAGTTATCAAAAATATCAATGAAACTTATATTATATTGCCTGATTACTGTTGTAAGCAATGATTCATAATTATTGATAACTGCGAAGTAACTGCGGTATAGTGAGGGAGTGAATGTTGTTTTAAGCCACATTCTTCACCATTCCAACAATTTCTAGCCGACCTGTACATAATCGAATAATCTAGGCGAAACAATTCAGTGATTGATAGCATGAACAACAATCCGCATTATTATCCTCTTACCACAACAATAGGGCAGGTTCAGGCGATGGAAATATTGAGAATTAGTAACATTTTGTATCTGCTGATCTTGATTCTACGCAGCATACATCCAGGAGAGGCCGCGGGTGCTATTGCGTCTTCAGCAGAGGACATGGCTAAATGGATGCACTTCCTGCTGAGGCAAGGGGTGACAGCGGACAACGTCACACTGGTCAAATCTAAAACATTTGCGGAGGTCTTTAAATCTCACGAGAGTATTCCTACCAGTCACTCCTTGTCAAAGCCAAAGTATCCCGTGGTGAACTTGCAGTATGGCTATGGCTATGCATGGTTCATATCGACATATAAAGGTAAGACACAATCCAAACTTAATGGCATGCATAAAAGAGCGATGTACGCTGCAATGAGCAATATTCAAGTCATAAAACTGCGGAAGACATAAAACTGGATGTTACTATTGCATTCACAACAGGAAGCACAAATGGGTGTTTGGTGTGGCTACCACATTTTCTTTGATAAAATTTAATAATTTCATTTAATATGATGAAAATGACAACCATATTAAAATCAGATATGAGTTCTCAGCTAATCAAATATCCGAGGTCATGCCATTGCAAGTCACGTTAGATCGAACAATGATCGACCAAAATCACCAAATAGAAAGCAGTTTTCGCGAATTTACGGTACTGGTTTCAAACTTGTGACTTCCTTTCCAAACTACGCTTTGGACATATTTTCACTTCAGTTTTGAAAAAGATGGTCGAGGTTGTATGGCAGTACCTCCCACGGTCTATAGAAAGTCTAAATGTTTATGCCTTAAGGCGGGCTATGATTTTGATGGAATCAGTCAAAGTGTCCGTAATTGTTGTTCGGAACGCTCCGTGTTAGGCTTTTCGAAGTTTGGAAGACTTATATTCCGACTGTCACTTTCTAAATCTGGTAAGCAACCATCTGATTGGTTGTATGAGAGCTTGTTCTGACGTGAACCGTGATGAGGTGAGGTGAAAAGGGGTTTAACGCCGCGTCCACGATTATTGCACTTATATAGCGACGTGCTTGTACGTGTGTGTGTTTGTGTCGCTGCTTGTACTAGTCCGGACTGATGCCGATTTATAGTGCTAGCTCACTGAGATACCATGCCGCAGTTTAACATAAATACCCCACTCGGACACAGTATCCTGACCCCAAGCCGACCAGTTCTTGTTTTAGCCCCTTAATGCCATTTGCCAGACAGGGTAACAACAAGTACCATCTTTTAACGTCTTTTCGTATGACGCGGCCGGGGATCGAACCCCTGACCTTCCGCTCTCCGGGCGGACGCTCTACCACTAGACCACGGAGGTAGTCTGAACCGTGATGAGGATGCCCCCATATCTTTTGATAAAGAAGAGAGAATGGTAATGGTGCTATATATGCACTGTTACGATATTTTTAGTGTACAACGTGTTACAGTTCATGTCACGTAAGGTCTTTGGTTTAAGTTAGGATAAATACACTGGTGAACAAACACACGCTTTACCAAAATACAAACTAATTAGAATCTGGATTCGAAGACGAAATGATGTTCTCAAATCATGAACACCAATCTTAAAAATGCGTGAAAGACGTGTACATGTGAAACTGTTAACTCTTGATTTAGTTCACTGAAGTGAACCTTAGCCAGACACTTTGGTTGCACTCGTGCAACAATCACGTGGTTGTCAGTGGAGTGTCTGAGGACAGTCACGTGACACATCACATATTATTGGTGCATATTATTGTATCCCGTATAGGGTAAATCGATGATGATTGTGTCAATCACTGGATTCACTGGTCCAGACTCGATTGTTCTCACAGTGTCATCATATAGCGAGTATTTCTGAGCGAGGCGTTAAACAACAAGGAAACAAACCTGTCTATCGTCGCCGGGAAGAGCGCACGGCTCGTTGATGTATCCAAAAAACATTTGGATTGGTTGGTTTGTTTGTTGTTTAACGCCGCACTCAGCAATATTCCAGCTATATGACGCCGGTCTGTGAATAATCGAGTCTGGACCAGACAATCCAGTGATTAATATCATGAGCATCGATCCACGCAATTGGGATCGATGACATGCATCAACCAAGTCAGCGAGCCTGACCACCCGATCCCGTTAGTCGCCTTTTACGACAAGCATAGTCGCCATTTACGGCAAGCATGGGTTGCTGAAGACCTATTCTACCCCGGGTTTTTCACGGGTCAGACACATTTGGAAGCGGCAGGGTAATTGTATTGACAGGGATTTGTGATCGACGGACCTTGCTGTGTTATACGCTAATCTTACAACACAACGTTACATCGACGAGTTATTGCGTCCAGCTGTGGTTCCTTACCTACAACAGAACCTACGGATCTTGTTTCAACATGACAACGCAAGACACGGCGCGTATCAAGCGTCATTCTTGTGCAGGTCAATAATGTCAAGGGGCGGTCGGGTAGCCTTGTGGTTAAAGCGTTCGCTCGTCACGCCGAAGACACGGATTCGATTCCCGACATGGGTACAATGTGTGAAGTTCATTTCTGGTGTCCCCCGCCATGATATTGCTGGAATATTGCTACAAGTGGCGTAAAACAATACTCACTCCATAATGAGTGCCTTGGACAGCTCGCTCTCCTGACATGTCGCCAATTAAACACATCTGGGACCACCTTGTTCGTCATATTATAACACGGCCTACTCAATACAGACACTCAGGGAAAAACGACGACGAATACTCTCACTCCTGGTTGTCCTCGAAGATCCTGTATTTTCTCAGCGAGTGCATTTTCAATCTGTTCCATTGCTGTGTATTTGCTACCTTTGGAATATCTTCTTGTCTATTTTTTTGGTAAAGACTGATACATACGTATAAAGCGTTTTCTTTCGTCGAAGTATTTAAGTTTTACTTCCTAATATATTTCAACCAAAAATGTCCTTTCACATGTTCTTGTATCACTGTAGAGTATCACCATGACATTAGATATAATTATATTATATAATACACAACCGTCTTTCGCGAACACCTGGTGTAATCACTGATTTTTAGTTATCCATTCATATAACTTCACCACAAGTTTGTTCAAGTTGAGCAACGCACGTTAAAATCATACACGATGTAAGTGATGTGTTCATAAATGAATTTAGATTTCACATTATTAAAGTATTTAATGTTCTACTGTATTTTTCAGGATATAAACAGTTCATGCACACCGGAGGCTTCTATTCTTACATAACCTACCTTGAACTTTACCCCGACTTGGAGTTTGGAATCTTTGTAAGTGCCAATGGACCGGGGACAGCGGATGAGGGAATTGCAGAAAATATTATCTCATTCTATATTTCCGATATTTTGATCGGTGATCAGCCTTGGCTAAATTCAACCACGGCCTGCACATTCCCTTTGCCATGGGACAAGGCGCCACAAAGCGGCCAAAATAATTCCGACGTCACGAACGCTGAAGTGGAATGCCTTGATTGTTATGTTGGCAAATATGGACACTATTTGTTTGGTGACCTTGATGTTAAGCTGGGGTCGGGGTCGTCATTGGAACTTCACTACAACAGGTTACAGGGTTCTCTCAATGCCACAGTGGATAAAAGTACATTTAAATTGGATGTATTGGGTTCCTTTAGGTTTCTCTCTCGGCCAGGTAATGCTACCGTACTTGTAAAAGCACACTTCCATGGGTTAAACAAAGGAAAGTATTCACAAATTGACCTCAGTCTCCCCCACAAGTTGACATTTAACAGAGCTATCAGCTTTTATGACAAAAACATATACACAAGTACCAAAACTGAAACAAATGGGCAGACTGTAAAGGAGTTTAGCAATCTTCTGATGGTGTTCGCAGCATTTTGTGCAGTCTTGTTTAAGTGGTAGGGACTGTGTAAAGTTCTACCTGGACAAAGAGGATTTTTCATGATAAATATCGGTAACTCCTTCCATTAAATAGTTTAATCAATTGTGTTCATATCTGGAGAAATACCGATGAAAAGATATACTTAACGTTATTTTGTATGATGTAAAAAAAGATTTGTTTTCTAAAATGTTACAATTTGGAGGGTTGTTTTCAATAATTGAAATAACTAGTAATGAAATGTAATATTTTGTTTCTACTTTACAAGCTGATTGTTGCTGTGTCCTCTATTGAAATGTAGGCACAATCTATTGAAATGTAGGCTCAATCTATTGAAATGTAGGCACAATCTATTGAAATAGATTAAACTGCTAAATTGTATGGTTTAGTAAAATGACAAATGACCAAATTCAGTTTTACATTTTGAAAGCACTTTCAGCACAGAATGGCATTGTCTCCAATACCTGGGGCCTGGGCCTGATGTGACTGGTTATATAATGCTTCAGGCAAAACTGTATATGTGTATACATGTATGTCATTTGACCGCCGAACACAAACTCGTAAACTTTTGTTTGCTTCAGCACTGATCCCCTTTACTGACATTGCTGTCTACACAAAGCAAGTGTATGTACATTGTGATCACACAAATGGCTTATTCTTACAAAATGTTGAATAAAATGCAACACTTATTAAGTCAACTTCACATTCACGAAGGAAATGTTTTGAGACCGTGATATATTGAGACGATGTTTTTCAGATATGATGCAAACATTAATGTTCATCTGATCTGATTGCAGTCTTGTTTACCATGTGTTAAACAGAACCTAGTCTTTATTTTTTACGTATTTGGCCTTATTATTTCATATGAGCTTTGGTAGGTTAAATATCAGGACGCATTTGAAACTCAGGTACTTTGAATAACTTGTCAAGGCCTTGTAGAGAACGCTGTTGTAATTTGGAGTATCCCGTACATATATGTTTGATAAGCAGTCGGGCACGATATTGGTTAAGGTTTTGTCGTAACTCAGTGAACTCCAACTGAAGTGACAAAGTGAATCGGTAACTTGATACTATTAATATAGTTATTTGTCTTTGTGCTGGGGCGATAGTCCCGGGGAGACGTTCGTAAATAAATTACTTGTTTCTTGTGAATTGTTCAACGCCGCACCCAGCAATAGTTAAGATATATTTCGGCGGTGTATGAATAATCTGGGTTTGATATGATGAACGATCTATGCCGTCGTGGTATGATGGCACGCAGTCCTGGTATGATGGCACGCAGTCGTGGTATGTCGGAACGCAGTCGTGTTATGATGATATGCAGTCGTGGTATGTGGCACGTAGTCGTCGTATGATGGCACGCAGTCGTGGTATGATGGCACGCAGTCGTGGTATGATGGCATGCAGTCGTGGTATGATGGCATGCAGTCGTGGTATGATGGCACGCAGTCGTGGTATGGTGGCACGGAGTCGTGGTATGACGGCACGCAGTCGTGGTATGGTGGCACGGAGTCGTGGTATGGTGGCACAGAGTCGTGGTATGACGGCACGCAGTCGTGGTATGGTGGCACGGAGTCGTGGTATGATGGCACGCAGTCATGGTATGGTGGCACAGAGTCGTGGTATGGTGGCACGCCGTCGTGGTATTGTGGCACGCCGTCGTGGTATTTTGGCCTCCTGAGTCTGACCACTCGATCCATTAAGTCGCCTCATCCGACAAGCATAGGTTGCTGAGGATCTTGGAACCACCATGGACTCCCTAGGTAGCCGTACATGTAGGTAGCAATATTCAATAAATGTATACATATGTTAAGTATATGATGATTGTTTTAATAAACAGAGTTTAACTATGACTGGTTTTGATGTTCTGTCTGATACATACCTCGACTCAGATTGTACAGGGTATATATTGATCGTGGGTTATTTAACGCTGCACTCTGCAATATTCCAGCTATATGAGCTCTGTTAATAATCGAGTCCGGACCAGACAATCCAGTGATTAATATCATGAGCATCGATCCACGCAACTGGGATACAATGACATGCATCAACCAAGTCAGCGAGCCTGACCACCCGATCCCATGAGTCGCCTCTTACGATAAATATAGTCGCCTTTTACGGCACGCATGGGTTGCTGAAGACCTATTCTAACCACGATCTTCACGGGTTAGTATGCTATAGTGGGGGATTGTGATGGTTGTATTGTGATTGTGGTGTATTCCTGGCATAATAGAATGATGATTGTGGGTTGGAACCCCAGAGGTGCCCTGATTTGTCTGCACCATGTCCGTGTTTGACTGCTGATGGGGATCTCCATGACCTGCATCACTTCAGGCTTCCATCCAACATCAAGTTGGCCCTCGCTGATATAGCCGAGATACTGTTCAAAGTGGCATCGTTAAACCCATCTCACTCACTCGTGTTGTACATGGAGTATGAACCTTGCGTAATTCCTTATAATAATCGCGATATCTGTGTCAAATACGATATCAAATAAGGATTCAACAATATAAGAGATCCAAAAACTTGTAGTACATGCATCCCTTGTTTCTAATAATTCATAGCTATTGAAGTATCATAAATATATTTCAAATCAAATATTGAGTGGTCCTGGTTTTTATAAACACAAATAAACAATAAACAGTATGAACACTTCTTCGATACATTGATAACATCTCAAAAACTACGTGCCGATATACAACCGAACATCCCATCCCGACCAAGGAACTAGATGGGTCTCCCCTGACCCGTGAGGGACCCCTTGCCACCCGTTAAATATTTTGGGGCTGGGAGTTTTGTTAGAGACAGGGTATACGATCGGTCACTCACACAAAGCAAGTAATTATGAAACATTTGTATAAAACGCCGGGAACAAATTTTTTTTCTTTCCATTTCCCGATATTCTGACCTATTTACAGCAGCCCTGACTAACGTTAAGATTTCACAACTGTGACTGACCTCCCTTATCTGACTCTACTGTTTGCATGTTATCAAAGGTAAAGATACTTCCCCCCTCTTTATAGTAGATTGTATTGACAGAATCTTAGCGCTGATCTATCATTATTCTGTGAAAGAAACGTATCTCATACCAATTGTTTATGGTTCTGCGATTCAGTGTTAACTTTGCAAAAACACGATGTGTTGTATGCAAGTGCTCAAACGAGCGCAAATTTTACTTTTCTCTCCCCTCCGCCCTATTTTCTGACCCATTTACACCAGTCCTGACCAACATTATGATTGCGCAAGAGTGATTCACCGTCTCGTGGTACACCTTTTTCAAACAACAAAAACTGGGTCCTTTTCACTGCAGGTTGTGTTGAAAGGGGTCTTCAGCGTACGAGGTTGCTCTGTTCTTATACTGCGAGAAGAGCTCATATCCACATTGTGTGGTTAGGGAATTCAGTGGTAACTTTAGCAGCAACATGAGGTGGTGTATGCAAGTGCTGCTGCTCATGTCCGCTGTCTCATTGGGGTCGGCGGGGGTTTTCTCTGATGACCAGGCGAGTAAGGTGGGAATGTTTGTGGAAGAGGTCATGCGGTGTAGACAGGTCCCCGGGCTGACCCTGGCTGTTGTGAAGGGTGATGAGACGTGGACACGGGGATTCGGACAAGCGGACATAGAACAAGGAGTTAACGTAACCAAGGATACTTTATTTGGAATTGGATCTGTGACCAAGGGTTTCACGAGTACCCTCCTTGCCATGATGTTGGATGACAGTAATGGAAGGTATGTGATCGTCACACATCACTGTACCTAAATGAGTGAGTATGGTTTTACGCCGCTTTCAGCAATATTCCAGCAATAACACGGCGGGGGACACCAGAAATGGGCTTCACACATTGTACCCATGTCCGGAATCGAACCCTGGTCTTCGGCGTGACGAGCGAACGCTTTAACCACTAGGCTACCCGACCGCCACACTGTACCTAAAACAAGAGAGATGTCAGGTCACGCTTCCATTTATTTCATGCGGCATACAGACCAAAGTATCTCAATCACAAAGCACAACGGAATGCATTTGAACACACATCAGATATATTTTACACAGTAACACTTTTCCAGGAAATGTAATGACCTATGTTTACTTCGAGCAACTTGTGAACTTCAGGGTAACTCTTCAACAACAACATAATACTTCTGCTGATACATCAGTCTCACAATTCAAATCGTCTTCAATAATGATAATACAATATTTACTATTTCTGTGAACTCTGACCTGAAGAAAAAAACTTGCATTAACAACCTCCATACATATCATACAAAACTTACTCTTTCCATAACAAGATTTAGCAAGTAAAACCTATTTTCATAAGGGAAATACATGCAAATATTCACTTTTACACTATAACATGCCATTACGCTAGCTGGATTGTCTGGTCCTGACTCGATTATTTACAGACTGTCGTCATATAGCTAGAATATTGTTGAGTGCGGCGTTAAACAACAAACAAGCAAGTAATCAAAACAATTACTTCCCGATTATATATATGATACAATTATTTCCATAATTTGACCTATCAGTGATTACATCTTTGGACATTCAAAAGTCCATGACATGTAAATAGAATAATATCTCAACAATGCCTACTTATAACATAGATAATACAGAAGCAGGTACTCATTTAGAAGCAATTGAAAATATTGCATTGAACTATCATAATTGAAAATCAATAACAAACATTTTCCTCTGTGACAAGGACATGTGCTTTCAGTAATGTAACAAGATAAGAGTTACTTCCCCTGAATCTAGCTAACGTGCTCACGTGACACTCGAAAAAAAGGTGACAACCAGAGTTTGCATTGCGTTGGCGGATATTTAACGTTAAGGATAGAAAAAACTATCCTGTTCCTACACCAAAACTATAAGAACACTATTCCCATGCCTGAATTGACTAACACATAGCTATAGCTATAATAGTCACAATGTCTGTGAAACACAATCTGTCAATGACAGAACGTCTAACGCTAACCACGAGGTTGTTGCCTCGCCTCGATAAATCGAACAAATATGCAATGCTACATCTGACAAAATACTTACAGCCTATTTCTTAGCATTGTTACCTACAATAGTTGATACAAGACGGCCTTATCTCGACAAGTATTAATGCTTTCATACCTAAATTCACGAGAGACGTCAGGTCACACTTATCACTTATTTTCATATTTCAGACGTATGTTCATTTGGTTGATACAATTTACCTATTTTACAAGATATACACCAGTGAAACAATGCCCTGTGACGTCAGTCTAGCGACAGGGTTGTTGAGGTCCCTTGCCCTACCTTGCGGTCAGCACAGTACCTCTGCTTCAGGCCATGACGATTCGTCACAAGTTGCACAGTCCATTCAAGATTTTGCATACGTTTTTCATGTTTCATGTTTGACGACTCTGCATATTTAGATAAACATATGTCATAGAATGGTTAGGAGCGGTCGGGTAGCCTTGAGGTTAAAGCATTAGCTCGTAACGCTAAAGACCTGGGTTCGATTCACGACATGGGTACAATGTGTGAAGACCATTTCTGGTGTCCCCCGCCGTGATATTGCTGGAATATTGCTAAAAGCGGCGTAAAACCATACTCACTCACTCACTCATAGAATGGTTAGGGGCCGTCGAGTAGCCTTGTGGTTAAAGCTTAAGCTCGTAACGCTAAAGACCTGGGTTCGATTCACGACATGGGTACAATGGGTGAAGACCATTTCTGGTGTCCCCCGCCGTGATATTGCTGGAATATTGCTAAAAGTGGCGTAAAACCATACTCACTCACTCACTCATAGAATGGTAAGGAGCGGTCGGGTAGCCTTGTGGTTAAAGCGTTAGCTCGTAACGCTAAAGACCTGGGTTCGATTCACGACATGGGTACAATGGGTGAAGACCATTTCTGGTGTCCCCCACCATGATATTGCTGGAAAATTGCTAAAAGCGACATAAAACAAAACTCACTCACTTACTCGTAGAATGGTTAGCTTTCATTTAAAAAATAACATAAAACGTGAAAAACATTTCGCGTAGATATAGTATGTTAACATTGGATAAGGGCTCCAGGTGCTGTCATCAAAGCTCTATGGATACCCAGCGAAACGGTCACTTTGATGTATAAATGTATATTGTCATGCACCACACTGTCGAAGTTCTTGCAGCACATCTTTATAATTATACAAAACAATAATGTAAAGTGCACTGACAGGCTTGCATTGGGCTAATCTGTTCTGATTTCAGAACGTTTGTTTACAAATGAGAGAATCACGTGATATGCAAATTAGCATGTGGCAGTGGTGTAATACGCCGCAGTGTGGTTGGGGTCATCAAGTGTGCATTAGCTCCTCTCAGTACACGCAATGTCATTGAATAGGCCCAGCGTTGTTGAGAGGTTTCAATATTTGTTAGCGAAAGGTGTTCTGGCACTACATGACTGCGTGCTTTGATATATTAGAGTTGTATGCTTATTTTCAGGGCGGTGCCTTCACGAATGAGTATTAAAAACAAATACACAGTACTTTATTTGTTATACCCATTACCTTTGGTATTGGCAGGACGTAGATCTGTGGACCTAAATTATTTGCACGAACTCCCGATGCGGTTTTTCTTTGATGGTTAATCTACCAATACTACTACTGTATATGAAGAGCCATGCACAACTTGTCATGTCATGCAGAACACGAGAAAGGACAGCCAGTATTTGTTATGTTCAAAAAGTTTGTGGTCATATCTAAATATAAGCCTGAAGGAAAAACCGTGAGGACATTTCAATCGCACACAAGTATCAGCACAGACGTACAACACGACCAACTGTCATCATCATCGCCTCGACTGACACGAATTGACTACAAAACAAATCAGCTCGAAATACCTTCAAAAGGTGTCGCTTTGATGATTAAAACATCTTCCCGAGGCAAGAGAGTTAACTGACTTTAAAAGTCCACTTTCCACCCTTGCCGAACTAGGCAGGAATTCCTGGGCTCGATCGCAGCGCCACCAGTGGCTATTAACAGCTATGTCCCTTCTAAAACTCTCCTACTGACCAATCAGATTCCACCTCTCGTATCACTAGCATTAGCTTCAAACAAAATGGTGGGTAGTCAGGACGATCTGGTCGATAATCAAGATCTATATTTGATAAAACGGGTCTGTCATCGCGAAATGCATCAAATTACGTGAGCACCTTGATTAAAAACAGGAACAGATTTGGAAACTATCTGCTGACAACGAGTTGGCGGTGCACATACTTTGCAAATCCTGCAATCGACAGAAATCTGCACGACAATTTACAAACCGGATTTCGATTTCGTTGCGCGATTTTTGATTGGACTATGCATATACTCGTTAGTCCAGCCGAGTAAACCACAATGCTTTTAAGAACCTTTATTTCAAGTACCAGCAAGAGATATTTTATCCCCGTTTCTTAAGGTTTTAGGAAGGAATGTTTGAAACATGCAGTTGTTGGTAAATGTTTTTTCAGATTTTTTTCTTTTTATATTACGGGACCATCAATGTTTTTTTCGGGGTGTGTGCTCATGCGGTTTAAATGCATTTATGTTTATCGGGGAACAACCATAATGTCAGTAATGATTATACCTAGTTACCTTGTAAATGATTGTTGCTGTTTGTACTGTGTTACAGTTTAACATGGACGTCAAAGGTGAAGGACGTTTTGGGTCCAGACTTTGCGTTTGTGGACGAGGAGAGAACAAGGGAGACCACTCTGAGGGACCTTTTGACCCACCGCACAGGGCTCCAGTCTTCAGTAATGCCCATATTTGCTGGATTCGCCCGCAACTATACGAGAACTGAATTTTCCAAGTAAACTTTCTTATGTTTTCTTACATACATCGATTTCTATCAGACAAATTGATACCATACTCACATTTCTGTGTATTCAGTTCTGAAGCAGGGGTTACGGGTGGCCCAGCTATCTAAGACACTGACAGAGTCTCTGCAGAGTCGCCTCCCTCGTGTGTGTCAGAATCGTGGGTTAGAATCCCATATTCGTCCTGGCCATTTTTCGTCATTCTTGTTACATTTTAGCAGTCACATCACTGATAGTTGCATGTCTGTCGCTATTATTTACCTCGACTGGATTAAATTTTGCGAAGTAGATGACAAATGAAACCGATTTCTCTTGACAGTGTCATATTTGACCCATCAATACCAGTAGGCGAGTGAGTTAGTTGTGCTTAACGCCGCTTTTAACAATATTCCAGTTATATCGCGGCGTGTCAGCTTAATGTGGGAGGAAAGCCCGAAGTGATGCAGGTCTCAGACGTTTATTACTTCGGTGAAACCCACGACGGGGGTATGGTGCTGACAAACCTAGAAACATAATCGGGGCGAACCGGGATTCGAACCCACAATCTTAGGTTTCTGGCGTGCCCAAGGGACGCAACTCTGCACAGCGAATCGCGGCGCCTTAGACAGGATGACGAGGACATAAAAACTGCCACACAGGCGTGGTTACAGGGCCAATCTGCGGATTTCTATTAAAGTGGTATTAAAAGTTTAAAGGATAAATGGAATAAGTGTATTGAGGTGAATGGAGATTATATTGAAAAATAAATGTGCAAAAGATATTCTGCGACTTGGTCTTATATTGAAGTTGCAAAACTTATTGAACGCCCCTCGTAAATGAAATACTGTTGTTAATGCTGTTATTGTTCTTTTACGCAGGCGTTTCCGCTTTCTTCAAGCAGTTCAACCATTTCGTGACGCCTACGAGTACAACAACTGGGGGTACGCTCTGCTCGGCCATATTGTGGAAGTGTTGTCAGGGGAATCTTACGAAGCAACTCTGGAGAAACGAATCTTCAAGCCACTGGGGATGAACCAGTCACGTGTCCTGGGAAAGACGATAACCACAAATGCAACAGGAATGGCAAAACCGTACTTTGACGTGGAGAACGAGCTCATATTAATGGATCCCTCTATTTACGAGTGAGATATAACATTTAATCACTCTGGTTTGAGAATTACTTTCTGCATTAAGAAAATATACATGCATTTTCAGCACATGAAATGAAAGAGGCGTTAGGGGGCGAACTATTTATGTATATGCTTTAGCTGTGTTTCAAAAACCAAAAAGTATTTGTATACTTTGTTTGTTTGTTGTTTAACGCCTCACTCAGCAATATTCCAGCTATATGACGGCGGTCTGTAAATAATCGAGTCTGGACCAGACAATCAAGTGACTGACATCATGATCATGAACATCGATCCACGCAATTGGGATACAATAACATGCATGAACCAAGTCAGCGAGCCTGACCACCCGATCCCGTTAGTCGCCTCTTACGACAAGCATAGTCGCCTTTCACGGCACACAGGGGTTGCTGAAGACCTATTCTTCCCCGGATCTTCACGGGTCGTATGAACAATGCATTTAATCGTCAAATATATCCAAGGTTGTTTTTAAACTTACTGGCTTGAATATTTAATATATAGTTTCAAAAGCATTTTAGGTATTCCCAGATATGTATATAGGCCATAAGAGTCCCGTTCGTAGCGATAAGCCAACAAAAGGGGGATAGATATAATGGATGGGTTACAATGGCTACTGAGTGTGACCACCAGAAACTCAACTCTCCGTCGCGCCACTTTCAGTGTGGGACATGATGCTCCAGTGGTGTGGTGAGAATATTATTTTTTTGAGTCAGCGTTTAGAAATATTTACGCACTCTTTCTGTGGGATGGATTGTTGATAACATAAAAGCGACAAAAGCCTTAAAGTTTATATATTCATGAGAAATGTTTGCCCAAAGCAGAGTCGATTGTACGATTTCGACTATCACATGACCACGTGTTGATGAATCACTATCCAATATTGATTGATGCTACCGAATGAGCGTATCCTGCCCCACCGGTGGCACACGTCACAAACACATGCAGAGGCAAGTCAGCTGTTCACCGGATACTCAATACCTGATCAGCAATACTCACACTTTTGGCCACTTACTTCTGACAGAAAATATTTAATATAATTAGGTCACGCATCGTAACAACTCAATCCTTAGGCGATCTAGCTATAAGCATGTGCATTAAGTGAGGAGTGAATTTCGTTTTACGCCACAATCAGCATTATTCTAGACACTTCGCGGTAAGCTGTATGTAATCGAGACTAAGCTTAGCAGATCAGTGGTAGACAGCACTAGCACCATCCACGCCGATGATGACGCTCACAACCAGAACACACATTGTAACAAGCCGACCCCCAGGCGATGGGAAACGTATTCTTATCTGTTGATTTTGGTTCTACATAGCCTACATCCAGGAGAGGCCGCGGGTGCTATTGCGTCATCAGCAGAGGACATGGCTAAATGGATGCACTTTCTGCTGAGGCAAGGGGTGACAGCGGACAACGTTACACTGGTCAACTCCAACATACTTGCGGAGGCATTTCAGGCCCATGAGAGCATAATAGACGGAGAAGCGTTGTCAAAGCCAGCATTTCCTGTGATGGACTTGAAGTATGGCTACGGTTATGGATGGTTCACATCCACATATAAAGGTAAGAAACAATGAAGGGTTATTGGAATCGTACATTGCATTGGAAATATTGCAGTCATAATTAACAAGGCGGGATGGTTTGTTTGTTTGTTGTTTAACGCCGCACTCAGCAATATTCCAGCCATATGACGGCGGTCTGTAAATAATCGAGTCCAGACAATCCAGTCATTGACATCATGAGCATCTGTCCACACAATTGGGATACAATGACATGCATCAACCAAGCCTGACCACCCGATCGGGTTAGTCGCCTCCTACGACAAGCATAGTTGCCTTTTACGGCAAGCATGGGTTGCTGAAGACCTATTCTACCCCGGATCTTCACTGGTCTGCGTGGTCTTGGGTTGAGTTAGCACAGTGGATAAACATTTAACATCAGGTATTTAGGAAGATCTGACATATTTTATTCCTTGTCAAACCCCGCAGTTATGTTCATAAATATGTTTCTCAACCTCAATATGTTTCTTAGGATGCTAAACACTACAAAAATGTGTCGACACAATCTACGAAATGTAAGTTTTGCATGAATAATGACTTCATGTGTGAATTTAACCTTCGCATTGTTTATGCTCTTTTATGTTTAATGTTATTTTCAGGATATAAACAGTTCATGCACTCGGGCGACTTATTTTCGTATACCAGCTCCCTTGTATTTTACCCTGAACTGGGCATTGGATTCTTTGTCAGTGTCAACGGAGCAGGGACAATGGATGCGAGAAATGCAGAAAGGATGATCAAATTCTATATTTCTGATCTTTTGATCGATGATCAACCTTGGCTAAATTCTTCCACGGCTTGCGCGTTCCCTGTGCTATCATACACTCAAAATAATTCCGACGTCACGAACGCTGAAGTGGAATGCCTTGATTGTTATGTTGGCAAATACGGACATTATCTGTTTGGTGACCTTGATGTTAGGAGGGGACCAGGGTCGTCATTGGAACTTCACTACAACAGGTTATCGGGTTCTCTCAATACCACACTGGATAAAAGTACATTCAAATTTGATGTAGGGGACCCTAATAGGTGGCTTTCCAGGTCCGGAAATTCGACATTTCTTTTCCCAATAATCTTCCATGGGTTAAACAAAGGAAGGTATGACAAAATCGACATTAGTTACAAGTTCACATTTAGCAGGGGCATCAGCTTTTATGATAAAAACATATTCACAAGTACCACGACTGAAACAAATGGGCAGAGCGTCAAGGAGTTCAGCTACCTCCTTATGGTGTTCGCATCAGTTTGCGTCGTCTTGTTTATGTGATATGGACCAATGACTGCGATCTTGAAAATATCTAAATTTCGACCTGATGCATCTTACGATTCTGTAAATCAAAGAAACTGGCATTTATGTTGCCAGACGTTGAATGTCAGTCACACAAATTCGCAATCATCATAAAAAAAATCACTGGTTTAAATATCTTGCAAATGCAATCACAATGAGGAGCTAGCAAGAAATTATCATTTGTTCACAAAAATTCACGAAAACGGTATGAAATTGGCTATAACGGCAACAACATTTGCTGGCACACATTAATAATTACTTAATCTGATTCATTGACGTTGTTCCATTTTGATTGGACGCACACAATTAACCTATATTAAACTATATTTGCATGTTTTGTTTATTGTTTAACGCCGCACTCAGCAACATCCCAGCAATGTGACGAGGGTCGAGTGTGGACCACACAATCCAGTAATTTATACCATGAGCATCGATCTACGCAACTGTGTACAATGATTTGTATCAACCAAGTCAGCGAGCCTGACCACCCGATCCCTCAGTCGCTTCTTACGAAGCTGAAGACCAATTAGGGGTTGCTGAAGACCAATTCTAACACGGATCTTCACAGATCGCCTATACTTTTTGCATATAACATGTTACATTTATTACATAAACTGCAAATTTCCAAAGAACATGAGATGAGCCATCATCGTCAGAAGACGTGTCTTCCGGGGTCCAACCATCTTCCCGAGAGTTAACTGACCATAAAAATCCAGTTTCCACCCTTGCCGAACTAGGCTGGAACTCCTGGGCTCGATCGTAGCGCCACAAGTGGTTATTATGAGTTATGTCCCTTCTGATCCTCTCCTATGGACCACTCAGATTCCATCACTTGCATTTGTTTTAAACAAAATGACGCCGCCCAGACAAGACGATCTGATCGATAATCAAGGTCTAAATTGTGATAAAACGGGTCTTACTCCGCGAAGCACCTTAATTAAAACCATGAAAAAGTTTCGAAAATATCTGTGCACATGCTTTGCAAATCCTGCAATCAAATAATTTTCGAAATTCAGAACAAGATCGTTATTGAATCATGTAATCGATACACACACACACAGAAATCGTATTAAATGATGATACAGAAACACATTTGTCTTATAGGCTCTATGTTAGAAATTGTAAATATTATTATTGCTTTTATTAGTTGTGCTTGTTCGCTAAATGCCCGCATCGTCCAAATATGTTTTATTTTGTATTGTTTTGTGTTGTATTGTAGTGTGCATTGTTAGTTTTGTTTTTAGTTTAGTACAGTGTATTTTGTGAAATTACATCTAAAGAACATTATCAGCTGTTCACGTTAGATTGCTGCACCTAAAACACCTTTTTTCTGTGTATCGACCTCTGCAACAATAGCTTGTTCAACAGACTATTTACCTGTGTTCCCACTGCTATGATACAGTCCCTTGGGCAGGGATCCCGGGCGCAATGAACATCGTGAGCGGGTATAACACGTTTCTTATGTGTGATGTTAATACCGTACATACATGTTTGACTATGCTTGTCGTAAGAAGCGACTAACGGGATCGGGTGGTCAGGCTCGCTGATTTGGTTGATGCATGTCATCATATCACAAATATGTGGATCGATGCGCATGGTGTCAGTCACTGGATTGTCTGGTCCAGACTCGATTATTTACAGTCCGCCGCCATATGGCTGGAATATTGCTGAGTGCGGCGTTAAACAACAACAAACCAACATACATATTCCAGAAAACAAATCCTCATAATGTACTCACGTTATTATGCTTATGTAACATTCTAAATTAAGACAAATTAAATCTAAAGTCGGTTTGAAAGTAATCTGTTCATCATCGAACGTGTTTATTGGTGTGTGAAATTTGATTTGATTGATTGTATGTCAAATTTGATTGATAATGATTTATGTATTTTGAATTATCAATGTGTCTACAACAGCGAGCCACTCTATAATAAACGGAAATTCACATCTGACCTTGCCTACTGTTTCCTTCTCTCTGTGAGGCTATTAGTCCCAACGAATTACCTTATTTTAGTTACATCATTTGTTTGTTTGATTGTCGTTTAACGCTGCAATATTCCAGCTATATGACAGCGGACTGTAAATAGTCATCAGTGAGTGAGTTGGGTTTAACGCCGCTTTTAACAGTATTCAAATTATATCGCTACGTGTCAGCTTAATGTGGGAGGAAATCCCGAAGTGATGCAGGTCTAAAACATTTACCACTTCGGTGAAACCCACGAGCACGGGTATGGTGCTGACAAACCTAGAAACATAATCGGGGCGAACCGGGATTCGAACCCACAATCATAGGTTTCAGACGCAACTCTGAACAGCGAATCACGGCGCCTTAGACGACTGGGCCACCCGTGCCCCCCCCCCCCCCCCCCCCCCGGTCTGTAAATAATCGAGTCTGCACCAGACAATCCAGTGATTGATATCATGAGCATCGATCCACGCAATTGGGAGACGACGACATGTATCAACCAAGTCAGCGAGTCTGACAACCCGATCCCGTTAGTCGCCTCTTTCGACAAGCATAGTCGACCCTTACGGCAAGCATGGGTTGCTGAAGACCTATTCTACCCCGGATCTTCACGGGTAACAGTCATTTTGTGCTGACCATAGTGCTTCTTGTATACACTCTTCAAAAAAAAGAAACACACATGTAGTATGTAGTTCATTGAACCTGACTACACATCCGGTATATAAATCAGATATATGTCAGTGGAAAATGTTGGTTGCCTGATATTCGACAATCGGTGCGTCAAAACGCAGCCATTGTCGATTTGCAATGTCTTAAACGGCATTGTTTTCACACTTGTTCAAAAATGTAATGGAGGAAAACAGTACAGCAAAATGCACGTGCAAGTTTGAGCATTTGTAACTCGTGGTAGTGGCTATAAAAAGGCAAGCATAAGCCAATAATTTGTCATTCAATTGTCAACATTTCAACATGTTCAAAAATGCCGATGCTGCTGATCGGAACATCGCCATAAGACGTATCCAAAGAGGGGAATCGCAGTCTTCTGTTGCATGCTACTTCAACGTCCAACACAGCACCATTTGCCGCCTTTGGGACCAATACACAGTTCAATTCCACCGCAGACCGTCATGTGTCATGGTGTGTGTGTGTGTGTGTGTGTTAGGGGGGGCATATCCTACACCACGAGATCTGACTTGGTTGTGGTTCAAGGAAATTTGACAGCAAATTGCTACATGAATAAAATTCTTCAACCCCACCTTCTTGCAGGCCTTGACCGCCAGAGGGAGCTGTTTCAACAGGAAAACGCTCTTCCGCACACAGCCCGTGTCACGGTAGACTACATTCATAATACCCACATCAACGTCTTGCCCTGGCCGTCGAGATCTCCAGATGTTAAGCCATTCGAACACCTCTGGGGTGAACTCGAATATGTGATTAATTGTGAAACTAACGGGATCGGGTGGTCAGGCTCGCTGACTTTGTTGATGCATATCATCGTATCCCAATTGCGCAGGTCGATGAGCATGATGTCAATCACTGGATTGTCTGGTCCAGATTCGATTTTTTACAGACCGCCTTCATATGGCTGGAATATTGCTGAGTGCGGCGATAAACAACACACGAAAACACGATGTTCTATGTCCGCCTGTCCGATCCCCCGTGTCCACGTCTCATCACCCTTCACAACAGCCAGGGTCAGCCCGGGGACCTGTCTACACCCCATGACATCTCCCACAAACATTGCAACCTTACTCGCCTGGTCATCGGAGAAAACCCCCGCCGACCCCATTGAGACATCGGACATGTGCAGCAACAATTGCATACACCACATCATGTTGCTGCTAAAGTTACCACTGAATTCCCTCACCAGACAATGTGGATATGAGCTCTTCTCGCAGTATAAGAACAGAGCAACCACGTACGCTGAAGACCCATTTCAACACAACCTGCAGTGAGAAGGACCCGGTTTGTTTTCTTTTGAAAAAGGTGTACTACGAGAAGGTGAATCACTCTTGCGCAATCATGATGTTGGTCAGGACTGGTGTAAATGTGTCAGAATATAGGGGGGAGTGGACAGAAAAGTAAAATTTGCGCTCGTTTGAGCAACATATCGTGTTTTTGCAAAGTTAACACTGAATCCTAGAACCAAAAACAATTGGTATTTACGTTTATTTCACAGAATAATGATAGATCAGCGCTAAGATACTGTCAATACAATCTTCTATACAGAGAGGTGAAGTATGTTTACCTTTGATACCATGCAAACAGTAGAGTCAGATAAGGGAGGTCAGTCACAGTTGTAAAATCTTAACGTTAGTCAGGGCTGTTGTAAATAGGTTAGTTATTACCGAACTGCTGAGTCAGACGCCGAGACATTCTGGCATGAGGTGGTTCAGGCTGAGATGGCATATTCACTAAGTTACTATTTTCGCAGTGTAACACAGATCTGGGAGCAATCACGTGTACCGAACGCGAGATGCAGGGATGTAGGTTGTTCGTACAACGTGATTGTAATTCCCCCTGCGATTGTAATTCCCCCTGCCAATAATGTCTCTCGCAGACAGACTCGGTATGTTTTGTTTCAGATAACAAGAAGATACATACCAGGGTGATGTCTGACAGACGCGGGATGTTGGAAGAACAATCAGTGTCACAGTGGTGTTAATCTTAAAGACACGATTGTTGATTGTTGATGGTAATTGTGAATTGTAAGGAAGATAACTCATCTCCTATCCTGGTCGGGATTTTGTATTTTGCCACAGTTCTACACATAACATACAGGGAACCTTAGCTGGCTAGAAGTACTTGATTAGAGATAAATTGTTAAATCTCATGAATGACTTCTGTCAAAGAGAACAATATTCATAATGTTTATCATATGTATATATTGTTTATTCACAAAAAGTGTTGAACGGTGTTTACTGTAAAGTGGTTGATATCATGAGCATCAACATACGCAATTCAGTTAGTCGCCTCGTTCTAAGACAAATTCTAACCCGGATCTTCACAAGGGTCATACACAAAGTACCAGTAACTATTTGTATCTGTATTATATGTTCACACATATCACAACACATTTTCGATCCCAATTGCGTGGATCGATGCTCATGATATTAATCACTGGATTGTCTGGTCCAGCCTCGATTATTTACAGACCGCCGTCATATAGCTGGAATATTGCTGAGTGCGGCGTTAAACAACAAACCAACCAACCAACCACAACACATTTTGGTTATGTTTCCACAAAATTACAAACTACTGTATCTCACATGTTATTGAATCTCTTTGGACCCGTGAAGACAGCGTCGACCATTGCTCACACGGTAACTATGTCTGCATTACACTACGCCTACCAACCTGTCGACCCGTGAAGATCCGGGGTATAATTGGTCTTCAGCAACCCATGATTGCCGTAAGAGGCGACTAACGGGATCGGGTGATCAGACTCGCTGACTTGGTTGATGAATGTCATCGTATCCTAATTTCGTGGACCGATGCTCATGATGTCAGTCACAGGATTGTCTGGTCCAGACTCGATTATTTACAGACCTCCTTTTTCACGGTCTTGTATTAATCATTTACAAGCAGTGGTCTCAGTTAGGTGACAATGTTATTCTCTACTGAAGTACTTTGAAATGGAAAACTTTATTTGTTTATTTGTAATTTTGAAATTAACAATTATCTTGTAATGTAGGTACAAAACACTTCATGTCATTATTTAGTATTTTCCTGCATCCAATGATTGATAGAAAACCTCTCAATTTCTATGATATATAATCTGTCAGCAATGTACATTCCACAACGATTATGTTAAGTAGATCTTTTTGTTGACGGTACTTCGGAAGATATGAATAAGCTTGGGTAAACAATGTTTTTGGTTTGGTTTGGTTTGTTGTTTTAAGCCGCACTCAGCAATATTCCAGCTATATGACGGCGGTCTGTAAATAATCGAGTCTGGACATGACAATCTAGTGATTTACATCATGAACATCTAGCCACGCAATTGAGAACGATGACATGCATCAACTGAAGACCTATTCTAGCCCGGATCTTCCGAGACTGGGTAAACAATATAATGAAACGAGCTACCGATAGTTCTAGTAAAATATCCTGTTGTCATAATACGATACTGAGCAAAATATGAATACTACACAATCCCTACCACATAAACAAGACTACACAAAATGCTGCGAACAACATCAGAAGGTTGCTGAACTTCTTTACGGTCTGCCCATTTGTTTCAGTTTTGGTACTTGTGTATATGTTTTTATCATAAAAGCTGATACCTCTGTTAAACGTCAATTTGTGGGCGAAAATGAGGTCAATTTGTGAATACTTTCCTTTGTTTAACCCATGGAAGTGTACTGGGACAAGTGACGTAGCATTACCTGGCCGAGAATATAATCGAAACGGGTCCCACATATCAAATTTGAATGTACTTTTATCAGCTGTGGTATTGAGAGAACCCTGCAACAATCTGTAGTGTAGCTCCAATGTCGACCCTGGTCCCCTCCTAACATCAAGGTCACCAAACAAATAGTGTCCGTATTTGCCAACATAACAATCAAGGCATTCCACTTCAGCGTTCGTGACGTCTGAATTATTTTGACCGCTTGGTGGCGCCTTGTCCCATGGCAAAGGGAATGTACAGGCCGTAGATGAATTTAACCAAGGCTGATCACCGATCAAAATATCAGAAATATAGAATGAGATCATTCTTTCTGCAACTGCCTCATCCATTGTCCCAGGTCCATTTGCACTTACAAAAATTCCAAAGTCCATGTCGGGGTAAAGTTCAAGGTAGGTTATGTAAGAACACAAGCCGCCCGTGTGCCTGACTCGTTTATATCCTGGAAAATAAAATACACAAACAACGTTAACGATAAATTCACTCCAGACAAATGCCTGGATCAAGGAATGAAGATTCCCCTTACGTTTGTCGTACGGGATAGTGGTGTACACAAGTTGACAAATCAGTTGATTGAAGATTGAAAAAATTAAAGTTAATCCTTTGAGTATGTGAGAATCCACATGCTATTAATTTCGCTTGTCTCAAATACTTTCTGTGAATCTATACAAAGCCCTTCCTTGACTGTATTGAGGAGCATAGTTAATCTTTGAGACAGGGATTGCATGGTACTGTTGCTTGACCCAGCAATATATCTCAGTCTGTACGGATTTTTATGGGCTTTGGAATCCTTCACAAAAGAGGAATGAGCATGTCTTCAGGCTTTAGAGTCAAGCCAAATGTAGTTAGTACGTTAATAACGGATTTCAGATGTCTCACTCAGTGAACATACTGGTCTCACTGGTGTCAGATAAAAACACGGTTTTCAGGTGTACGCGTGTCTGTTTGCATTCTACGATTTGTTTACATGATTATAGAACATAGATCCATGTTCTAAATCAAATGCTAATACATTTTGCTCTTCAGTACATTTGTCCATCGTGCTTACTTAACCCAAGGACCGCCTCCGTGGTCTTGAGGGGAAGGTCCGGGGTTCGATCCCCGGCCGCGTCATACCAAAAGACGTTAAAAGATGGTACTTGTTGTTACCCTGTCTGGCGCTCGGCATTAAGGGGTTAAAACAAGGACTGGTCGGCTCGGAGTCAGTATACTGTGTCTGAGTGGGGTATTCGTGTTAAACTGCGGCATGGTATCTCAGTGAGCTAGCACTATAAATCGGCATCAGTCCGGATTAGTACAAGCAGCCACACACACACACATACACGTGCATGCACGTCGCTATATAAGTGCAATAATCTTGGACGCGACGTTAAACTCAATTTCACCTCACCTCACTTAACCAAAGACCACACACGACATTAAATTTAACATGGTGTAAACTATAAGGCCTTAACAGTGGCCTGTGTAGACTCGTTACCATTTTGTATTCCGCTTATTCTCTGTTTGTCGTTTTTAATTATTTTAAGTAGATGCAGTAGCTTTGTGGATAAAGTATTTGTTAGTCACACTAAGCATCCACGGTTCATGTGAATACAATGGAAACAGCCAATCTGTGTCTCCCACAGTTTTATGACTTGAATATTGCTTATTTCAGCGTACATCGTTCTCATTCTATGCATGGCATTCATTAATTCTGGATTGTGTCTTACCCTTATAAGTCGACATGAACCATGCATAGCCATAGCCATACTGCAAGTCCACCACGGGAAACTTTGGCTTTGCCAAGGATAGCCTGCTAGGAATACTCTCGTGAGATTTAAATGTCTCCCCAAGTGTTTTAGATTTGACCAGTGTTAGGTTGTCCGCGGTCACCCCTTGTCTCAGAAGGAAGTGCATCCATTTAGCCATGTCCTCTGCTGATGACGCAATAGCACCCGCGGCCTCCGCTGGGTGTAGGCTGTGAACAGTCAAGACCAACAGATAAGAATGTGGTACCAACTCTGACAATTACCTCGTCTAATAATGCTAATAATGAGGATCAGGTAGCTACACTGTTTGACCATGTTGATCGTGTACCATTGTGCCCGACTTCGTGGATCGTTGCTAAGGCTTTCAACTACCTATTCGACTTAATAAGCGCCCAGGGTGCTCTTAAAATTAGAAATAGGGGGCTCTTATTTGAATATTATTTTGGTGAAAAAAACGAGAGTTGAAAGATAAATTTCGTGGTTTATGCTGACAGCCTGAAATGTTTATGTACGACAGATATATTTTTCCTGAATTTAATTGCCCATAATTAAGGGTGCCTGTAACACACGAGTGCGTATTATACGCGAATAAATAAGTCTTGTGTACATTGATCAATCGGAAGGGGTGCTAACTGGGATTTTTCACTTGCCAATATCTTAGCAAATGTCGCTGTGGGCGCTTATTAGAGTGGGGCGCTTATTACGTCGTATACGGTAATCAATTCCCTTGAATCGATTATATACAGGCCACCGTGAAACAGTTGAGTTTCGTTGACTGTGACTAGAGGCATTCATTCTATCTGGACCATCCTTCCAGTGATTGCCATCATGAGTATCGACTTACACAGTTAGGAAATGATCATCTTCGCGGGGTGTAAATATATACAGATTAATATTAGACATTGTTAACAATAGTGTTTCATTGTGGTTTTTACTGATTAATCCTTGATGTGAAAAACATTTGTTTCTCATCCAAATAATATTTCTTTAATAAAAAAAAACGTAGATGCGTGAATAACCTTCTACTTGACATCCTTAATAATATTTATAAAGTGAAAACGTATGGTTAATTATCAAACTAAAATCATTAAATGTTTTATCTTACTCGTAAATGGAGGGGTCCGTTAATATGAGCTCGTTCTCCACGTCAAAGTAGGGTTTGGCCATTTCTGGTGTCTTCACTGTTATCGTCTTTCCAAGGACACGTGACTGGTTCATTCCCAGTGGCTTGAAGATTCGTTTCTCCAGAGTTGCTTCGTAGGATTCCCCCGACAACACTTCCACAATATGGCCGAGCAGAGCGTACCCCCAATTGTTGTACTCGAAGGCGTCACGGGATGGTTTAACTTCCGGAAGAAAGCTGAAACGCCTGTGTGCAGAACAATAATAAGATAAACAACAGTTGTTCACAAGATTCGTAGCCATGATATGGTTTGGAATTGTGACAGCCAATTCTGTGTCTCCCACAGTTTTATTACTTTAATATTGCTTGTCTTTTTCCTATTGTTAGGTCAGTATTGAAACGCATTGTTTCGTCACGTGATCTGTATTAACCAATGAAATTTAGCGATTTGGAATAGAGGCATAATCATAGGTGATAACATCGATGTGCGGACTTCCATTGCACCAGCTTGGTGTCAGCGAAATAGTAAGTCACAACTTTTCACCCAATCACCAATGCAAAGACTGTCTAGATATAGTTTAGGCAACAGATAAATGAATGTCCGAGTTATTGCGTGCGTTTTGATATGGTTTATGAAGAGTATCATATGATCGTGCGGGTAATGTTTCATAAAAATGATTGCCGAGAGTCAAGAAACTATTATCAGTTAAAATATATAGCATTCGGTTGTATTGGATGAATTTGGTACAGCGTATTAGGCCTTTAATTTGCCAGTTTGTTTACGGATTTCTTTTCTCAAAACCTGAAGTCGGTAGTCGAAAAATCAACAGCAGCAAAACACTTTCAGATCATTATGTTTTTTTGTGAAAACAGGGTCAGAAGGTATTGAAAAAAGCCTCTGACAAATAAAACAGGAGTTGTAGCTTGAGTGGCGATCACATCATGCCTCCCTCTGGAATTACCACGCGTCCTGGACCCGTGAAGATCCAGGGTAGAACCGATGCTTGCCGTAAAAGGCGACTATGCTTGTCGTAAGAGGCGACTAACGGGATCGGGTGATCAGGCTCGCTGACTTGGTTGATGCATGTCATTGTATCCCAATTGCGTGGATCGATGCTCATGATATCAATTACTGGATTGTCTGGTCCAGACAGACCGCCGTCATATAGCTGGAATATTGCTGAGTGCGGCGTTAAACAACAAACAAACCACACGTCCTACTACCCAAGATATCAGATATGATTGTATCATAGTCCAACATGGAAAGCAGAGCATTTCCTCCATAGTCTATTACATGTTAATGTTGGTGTTTACGTCCCTAGGGCAACTCTGCCGGTATACTGCGGCGCCTTAATGGCTGGCCACCCGTACCTTCTGGTACAGAACTGAATATACTGGAATGTGAAAGATAACATTTTTTTTTTTTATAAACAATAATATGTATTCTAATGAACGTTTACTTGGCAAATTCAGTTGTCGTTAAGTTGTGGTCCAGTCCCGCAAACAGAGGCGGAACTGCAGGATGGAGCCCTGTGCGGTGGGTCAAAAGATCCCTCAGAGTAGTCTCCCTTGTTCTCTCCTCGTCCACAAAAGCAAAGTCTGGACCCAACACGTCCTTCACCTTTGACGTCCATGTTAAACTGTAAAAGTAATATACACGAATAGCGACAATCATTTACAAGGGTTACTATGAATGCTCACTCTACTTTACCACGATGACATATCGACTTCTCTCTCTACATTTACTTTGACAATGTAACAACCGCATACAATCCTTGCAATTTATATTTTCCTACGTGAGAGAGGGTTCATCATTAGACTGCTGAAATCAACTTGAACATGTGAATGTGCAGATAGAAGCTACAAGTATTGGGTGGTATTCTGAAAAAATACTTACATGAAAAAGTTTTAAGAATTTTGGTTGTATAATTTTATTTGAGAACGCTGTGGAGTCAATACCGTTATTACAGAATATACTCGTTTTACAGAATACTCTATCAAGCAATGAACTTATATGACATTATTTGATACTAGACGTGAATATCCCTTCATAAAGTTTAACAAGATACTGTTTCTGGTCATGTGGTAATTATAAGTAAGGAAGAGAATATATGGATGTCAACTTCTTTATTATGAGGAACACAACGTTTCGGAGTATATGATGAAGGAGTAAGCATATACTCCGAAACGTTGTGTTTCTCATAATAAAGAAGTTGACATCCATATATTCTCTTCCTTATGTGAATCACTTCTAAATGCCTTCAAAGACCTATTCTAAAGTGTCTAATTAGATTTTAAAGGGAACACTCACTCACCCACTCATTCCAAGTTTTCCTGGAATGTTCCCATTGAAATATTACGTCACACAGTTAGTGATTAATCAGTTGGACAGTGACATCAAGTAATATAGTTCCAACTGAAATTTCTTTTAGACAAAGATTTGTCGAATCTTTGACTATTATATTGATGATAATAACAAGATTCATGGTGTACTATACTACATTGCATACTACTTCACAGGGACCAAGGCTATAACATACTACCGGCGTACTATCGACTCATCAAAGACCCATATCAGTCATAATCCTTTTGTTTATATTACTGGCTTCACCCGTTGGTTATATTACTGAGTTCGCCGGTCAATATGTTTACGACCCTTTTGGTGATCACAACAGGCTTCTCCACTCCAGTGTAACTACAACCAATATCTACTCTACTGTACAAACACTGACTCCTATCTGTATATATGCTTGTCAACCATACTCTGTACATCACTTGCCTGATAACGATGTTAGAACCAACACCGAAACGTCGCTCCTAATTGTAATAAAGAAGTTGGTTATCCATATACCTTATCCTCAGTACTCCAACTTGTAAATGCTTCTCATAGAAGTAACTACATTGCAGAAGTGTTTTTATTCATCTGTATTATTTGATCACTTTCGTCATTTTCTGCAAAACGGAACGTTGACTTCGTCTTTTCGGAGATAGGTGGAGTGAGTGAGTTGGGTTTAACGCCGCTTTTAACAGTATTACAGTTATATCACGGCGTGTCAGCTTAATGTGGGAGGAAATCCCGAAGTGATGCAGGTCTCAGACGTTACCACTTTGGTGATTGGTCTTTGTGTCTTTGTTAGACGTCGTCACTCATGTTGTCCTTTATAATGCGTCCCACTCATTTAACCTCGCTCGCCATTTATAGCGGTATTGTATATGCTTACACTTTCATGGTAGATATCTAGCTTTGCTCCAGACATTATAGAAAATAACATATGAGCTACAAGGAACTTAACGAGGGATAAACGATCCGCAATTCCAAACACACTGACTTATCGTTTATGGTACCAATGCCTATGTATTCACTCGATACATAACTTCGGCTCCCTCCTGGTCTAGAAATATTGTAATAAAGTACCATCGCCAGTTGAGTAATAGGTAGAATGTATCATTTATGTGTATTTATGACATACCCTCCATTACTTTCATCCAACATCATGGCCAGGAGGGTACTCGTGAAGGCCTTGGTCACAGATCCAATACCAAATAAAGTATCCTTGGTGACGTTAACTCCTTGTTCTATGTCCGCCTGTCCAAACCCCCGCGTCCACGTCTCTGCCCCCTTCACAACAGCCAGGGTCAGCCCGGGGACCTGTCTACACCGCATGACCTCTTCCACAAACATTCCCACCTTACTCGCCTGGTCATCGGAGAAAAACCCCGCCGACCCCATTGAGACAGAGAACATGAGCAGCAGCACTGGCATACACCACCTCATGCTTCAAAGTTCTCAAAGGACTGAACGGCTGAACCACACAATATAGGTAGGCCTCCACCCAAATAAGCCCGCCGAGAAAATAATTGATTCTGGTAAGACGCGATATAGGTTGAGATGGAATATGAGCTGATTTCTCACTGTATAACACACAGCAACAACATGTCACATGTGTAGAACGCGAGATGAAGGGAGTTAGGTTGTTTGAACACGTTCCTCCCGACCATACCCTCACCAACAGACTCGCTATGTTTTATTTCAGATAGAAAGGAGACACATACCAGCAGTACTACGGTGGTGTATGACAGACGTGCACGTGGGATGGTGAAGAGGTCAGTCACTGACACAGTACTGTGAATCTAATGTCAAATATATCGTTGGGATGTGTCGGGTCGTGGTAATTGTATGAATTATAGATGAGAAGTTTTAGAGTCTTTGAACGGCATTTAGAAGTGATACACATAAGGAAGAGAACTTTATAATGAGGAACACAACGTTTCGGAGTATATGCTTACTCCTTTATCAGGTGAATGAAAAATCGGACCAGGTGAAGGAGTAAGCATATACTCCGAAACGTTGTGTTCCTCATAATAAAGAAGTTGACATCCATAAATTCTCTTCCTTAAGTTTTAGAGGTTGTTTATACTTATAGATAGCTAGAATTACTTACTTGTAAACTTAGTCTAAGTTAATCTCTAAGTGTCCAAAATTTTTGTTTGTTGTTTTACGCCGCACTCAGCAATATTCCAACTATATGACGGCGGTCTGTAAATAATCGAGTCTGGACCAGACAATCCAGTGATTGATATCATGAGTATCGATCCACGCACTTGGGATCGATGACATTCTTCAACCATGTAAGCGAGCCTGACCACCCGATCCCGTTAGTCGCCTTTTACGACAAGCATAGTCACCTTTTACGGCAAGCATGGGTTGCTGAAGACCTATTCTACCCCGGAATCACGGGTCTCTAAGTGTCCAAAAGGCTGTATAGTATTACTTCCCTAGAGGTATTCTTTACATTATATGATGTCAGGTTAGTACGATTCTTTTGTACGCATCTTAAATTTGAGGGATCAATAGATTTGAGAGCAAAGAGAAAATTCACCGACTGGCTTGTAAAAATCGGACCACAGACACCCAATGCTTCAGTGTTGAGTGCATGTGGCTTTTTCGTAGTGTTGGATACCATTATCACTGCATGAATATTATCATGGATCTCTTCTATGTTTTGGATTTCTTTGGCTAACACAAACAGGTGGAGATCAGAAATAATTGATAAGTATATTGAAGAATTGTGCTGTTTAAATGTTTCCATCAAAATTCCTATTATTAATAACAATTCCAGATATAATCTTTATAAAGAATATGAAAGTTTGTTGGATCTAGTGTCTTTATGCAATTAGCGAATTAAGGCTTCGAATATGTTCGTGATGTTTAGAGGGGAACTATTACGATTGAGAAAAAAATGAAGGAGGGTGGTAAAAAATCGATATATGCTTGACATGATACGATTCCGACTATATCATGAAAACATGTTTATGAATAACTATCAAATAGTGATGATATCAGATGTTCGCGAAAAGGTGAGCGTATCCTGCCTCACCGGTTGCACCGTCACAAACACATGCAATGGCAAGTTATTTGCTCAGGAAATCCACGGACCTTCTAATCAGAGGTCGGACGCCCTGTCCACATGACTAAAGAGGTTAATACCGTCAGCAAGCTGTCAAGGTAAGGATGCCATCTGTGGGATGACGCCACGCCCTGCTACATAAAGCATTTGTTTGTCTTGAGTATCATGTTTGACTTCCGCCCCCATCAATGTGATATAACAGAAAGTTTACTCAGAATCCTATAACTTCCCTAGGAACACTTTGACATGTGCAGAACGTCCCGACTCAATAACAGATTGTAGCAGTATCCATTTTATTTAAATATTTGTGAACAATGTATCAAATAAACTTAAACAAACAAACAAAATGCAGCATACAGTACATTGAATGTTTTCATGCATTCAAAACACACTAAAGGGAGGGGGAACTCCTATTTTTTAAATTATTTTTTTAAATTTATATCGGAAACAGGGACTGTGTCCAGTCTAGCAGCCTAAACATAATCCGTAAAAGATCGATTTATTTTCTAAGGGGTATAACCGAAATAGGGTCTCAGGCATTGCGATCGTTGTTATCATAGCAACTGGTCATAGAGGAAAATTTTAAATATATTTACTTTATTGCCCGAATTATAAATAGCCGGCGTCTTTTCTTTTGGTAGTAAAAACAAAATACTTCTGTAGCCTCAAGCACTCGTACATTTTTCTTGCACACCTACTGAAGCGTCAGTAGTCACGAGATGTCTCTCTTTGACCACTAGACTCATCTAGGGAACTGCGACGGAATCAACTTCAGGGTGTTTGTCAACAAACTACACCGATGAGTGCGTTTGGGTCAACGTTGCTTTGAGCACTACTTCTGTCATTTTATGACGCGTCAGCTTGATTTCTGGGGAAATCCAAAGTGATGCAGAACTTTTACGTTGCCACTTTGCTGCAAATCCGGAGCATTGTTATGGTGCTGACAATTACGATCTGTGAGTATCAGGATTCGAACCAACCATCAGAGATTTCTGGAATGCATATTAAGGTAGACAACTCTGCACAGCGAATTTCAGCGCCATGGTTGAGTTGGTCACCCATGCTCCCCGAAATTGATGAATCGCAACATGTTTCAGATATTACACTGAACATTATAACGCATCTTACCTGAAACTTTTTGTCAATAAATAATAACGCGTTTGTCTATATCAGCAGCCCAGTGGTACAACGTTCGCAAATAACCACGCAGAGTTGCGTCCCTTCTCCGCGCTAGGATCCACTGGTGATGTGTTCGAATCTCGAATTAGGTCCGATTAGGATATTTGATTCATTGATCTAAATCTGTCACAGTTTAATTATCATACAATGTAATTAAAGGGAGAGTATTATAAGGACGATTGGTGGTCCTACCAAGTTTGAGCTGAGTCATTCAAAACATACACTAGATTTGGTTTGTTGTTTAACGCCATGCTCAGCAATATTTCAGCTATATGACGGCGGCCTGTAAAATAATCGAGTCTGGACCAGACAATCCAGTGATTGACATCATGAGCATCGATCCACGCAACTGGAATACGATGACATGCATCAACCTGACTTGACTTGGTTGATTGCGTGTCATCGTACCCTAACGGCGTGAATCGTTGCTCATTACATCCACCTCTAGTTTGTCTAACTCGACTATTGACGGGTCATTACGGTCATAATGGTGAAAAAATGACTAAGGCGTTGAACAACTGACGAAGAATAAAACATCTGTCTCCTTGGGACCAGGAAAAGGTCCCAAACGCTTATGTGAGACTAAATGTGAACGGATGGTCAGGTTCCCTGAAACTGTTCATAGCGCGTTATTGTTCCCCGACGGCGTGACGTTGCTTATAATATCAACCACTTGTTTTATTCATGGGTTGCTGAAGATCTATTCTACCCCGGATATTCACGGGTCGGCCATCTATGAATGTACAAGGGTACATGTAAAATCATTAACTGACAGGTTGTTACTGAACTGTACACACTGTTCTCACTCATGAAAGTATGTGTATTGTGTAACAACAAGTGGTAATAAGAAAGCGGAATTCCGTGGTTAGAATTGATCCACAGCTACCCCCGCTGGTTGTAAGAGGCGAGCAAATAGCTCAGGAGGTCAGATTCGGTGATAGTGCAAGGCCGTAGTTAACTTTTTTTACATGGGTGTGGGGGCGGGCGCTAATATTTGTACAAGTATGACTTGTCCCCAACTTGTATTTTCATGATTCAAATAAAACTGTTTTAGACACAAACGTGATGCATCGACTTCTACTGCCAAAAGAGTCTGTGAATGGATGTTCTTTACCATCGGCAATATTCCATCTAAATCCCGACGGCCTGTAAATGTTCAAGTTTGACCATTCAAACAAGTGGTTGATAGCACTATCCACCCATTAAGCAAGGTCACATAGCAACGATCCGAATATCGTTTTGGTTGGCGTTTACGACATATAATTGTTTGTGTTTGTTGTTTAACGCCGAACACAGCAATATTCCAGCATATAAAGCGTACTCGAGACATGTGTTGCCCCAAAATCCCACTGTGAACATCCGGGGAAGAAGAGGTCTTTAGCAATCCATGCTTGCCGTAAAAGGCGACTGTGCTTGTCGTAAGAGGTGACTAACGGGATTGGGTGGTCAGACTCGCTGACTTGGTTGATGCATGTCATCGTATCCCAATTGTGTGGATCGATGCTCATGATGTCAATCACTGGATTGTCTGATCCAGACTTGATTATTTACAGACCGCCGTCATATAGCTGGAATATTGCTGAGTGCGGCGTTAAACAACAGACCAACCAACCCAACACGGATACACGAGGAACAAGATGTGAAAGAAAACAGTCTTGCATTTTTCATCAGGTTGCAAAATTTCAAGCAAATCCTTGTTCCGAGTTTTTGGAGAAACCAAGCCAGTGAAACAACAATCAGTTGAGCAGTTTATAGTTTATTCAGATGTTAAGATGAGGCATAGAAGGTAAAATATATTAAACATGTATCAACATCAACAGTATCCCAATCAAATTGTTAAATGTTACCGAAATGTTCGGAAACCCCTTAAACATGCTGAAGATCGGTTTATTAGAAATAACTTCTTCAAAATTTATTATTATGCATATATAAACAGAAACATAGTAACTTTACAACTATTAGTACAAAACAAACTTCATCAATGCAACACCATCATCATTTGATGACAGACATGGTACACTGTAGTTTTGTTACAAAAATATACATATTTCAGTTATCATTTATGACATTCTCGGAAGATCAGCTGATCCGACTGAGCTAGAGCATCAACGTATCCACATGGTGTGGTTCGATGCTCATGCTATAGGCACCTGGCTCACAAATATTACAATAACACAGCTGTGTGGAGATTTGTAACTAGATCAAGGAGGAACAGAGCATCTTATCAATGTGTAAAGATGCGATAACCACAAAAAAACATATGTGATATGTACAAATAGCTGCACAGTTGAACCTCGCTAAATCAAACTCAAATGTTTCTATATATTGTTTAAGATAAGCCTCGGTCCTGGAGAATATTGATACTACCAGTCCACATTGGAACCTCGCTAAATCAAACTCAAATGTTTCGATATATCGTTTAAGATAAGCCTTGGTCCTGGGGCCTATTGACACTACCAGTACACAGTGGAACCTCGCTAAATCAAACTCAAATGTTTCGATATATCATTTAATATAAGCCTTGGTCCTGGGGCCTATTGACACTACCAGTACACAGTTGAACCTCGCTAAATCAAACTCAAATGTTTCGATATATCGTTTAAGATAAGCCTTGGTCCTGGGGCCTATTGACACTACCAGTACACAGTGGAACCTCGCTAAATCAAATTCAAATGTTTCGATATATCGTTTAAGATAAGCCTCGGTCCTGGGGCCTATTGACACTACCAGTACACAGTGGAACCTCGCTAAATCAAACTCAAATGTTTCGATATATCGTTTAAGATAAGCCTTGGTCCTGGGGCCTATTGACACTACCAGTACACAGTGGAACCTCGCTAAATCAAACTCAAATGTTTCGATATATCGTTTAAGATAAGCCTTGGTCCTGGGGCCTATTGACACTACCAGTACACAGTGGAACCTCGCTAAATCAAATTCAAATGTTTCGATATATCGTTTAAGATAAGCCTTGGTCCTGGGGCCTATTGACACTACCAGTACACAGTGGAACCTCGCTAAATCAAACTCAAATGTTTCGATATATCGTTTAAGATAAGCCTTGGTCCTGGGGCCTATTGACACTACCAGTACACAGTGGAACCTCGCTAAATCAAACTCAAATGTTTCGATATATCGTTTACGATAAGCCTTGGTCCTGACCCCCATTGCCACTACCAGTCTTGAACTAAAGGTAACACAACATATTTCCAATGACCTCACAGCTTTCGAGTTAACGAGGTTTTGATAACATATTCCGCAGCATCAACAGTGTAATGATATCAAAGCACACACCGTTCACACGGGAGCAACTGAACAACAGATTATCTCCTCTTACTAGACACATCTTAAAGGGGGGGCAATTGTCAATACAATTTCAAATCCTCAAACACTATTTTCTTTGTCAGCTAACTCAAATTTTAAGATGTACATCATGTGATGCATCGTAGTAGTATACCCTAATCACATATAGATAATGTCTCGGTTTCACAGATGACACTATTACAATATTGACACAGAAGGTGAAAAAGGGCTAGAGATCTTGTGGAAATGTCCCCAAGGGTCCAGCAGGGTTACAACAAGAAAAGAAGAATACAAGCGTAAGACATTCTCATAAAAAGAAAACAAAATAAGATATCATTTGAAAGCAAAAAAAGCAGATATAAATGGAAATAGGGCAAAAACTAATACGTAATAGGCTTGAAATGAGCCAAGAAAAAGCTGTAACTATATATGTCTTCATAATCGTAAGATCCAGGACAATAAAAAGGGGGCGAAGTAACCGTCTTCAACAAGGCATAACAAAACCGGAAACCTTAAAAAGAAAACGTATGGGTAATATTTAATTAACCCTTGCGAAAAAGTATTGTTTCAAATTCCCGCAACAGATCAAGGTGAAAATCAATGCAAATCGGAGTTTTTTCATCAACGACCAGCGGGTCCTGACACAGGTTGTGGATGAACATGCATAGTGGGAATGTCGTCAGTCCTGAATGAGGTTTAACAGTACATCCGTGAACTGCCATTATTGTTTCCCTTTCTTTTAAGACATGGACAATCTATTTCAAAAGTGCGGAATGAAATAATGTTTTATCAAGTTTTAGGCAAAACATATTGTCTCTAATATTATTTGTAATGAATAATGTACCCAAATGGTTATTGATCAAGAAACGCGGGTGGGTAGCCTTGGTGTTAAAGCATCTTTTGACAGGTGGAAGATGTAGGTTAGTTACCAAACATGTGTAAACATGTACTTGGTGTACCCCACCGTGACATGGGAGTGATATTGCTGCAAGTGGTGGAGAAGCCATACTTAATCACTCGTACATCACTCTAACATGAGAGGCACCATACACACCAACCAGCCTACTTGGTGTTACAAAGGGGACAACGTTTATCGTTGTCCTTGTAACAGGTTTCACAGAAGTCAGCTTGACACTCTGAACTTCTGCATCTCCATCCATTTCGGGTCTCTTCTTCACACTGCACGCAGTTGACTTTTGCCCCTTTCTTGAAACAAGCTATTCGAGAGCAACAGGATGACCGCTTTGATTCCTCCTTTGATTTGACCTCAGTGTCCTTGGGCGGCCGATCTGACATCATTTTCTTGAGGTCATCCATAAAACTTCTCCGCTTCACTTCAATGAGTCGATACAGATACTGCACTCGGGCAGTTTCTTGTTCAGGGTAATAGAAAGCTGCAATCTTGTGTCGCAACCGTAGGCCATATGCTTGCAATACTACAAACGTTATGGCCAGGATGTACAGAATAAGGAGCACATACAGAGTATTCTGGTCAGGAGTGTTTGGCATAGGCAGGCACTTCTCAATATCAAGAGAAGTGTCGTAGGCCTGTTCTATGTTAAAGCCTGAGATAAACTTCTTGAAGACATTAGTTATCAAACCAGACCCTTCAACTATCAACTGGAGTCTGGACATTCCAGATAAATTGAACTCAAAGCGACCATGCTTATTGATCAGATACAGAATATAATAGAACAGGTAATCAAAGATGACTAATAAGGCCGCAATCAGCACATGCATGAGAACAGTCACCATACCATTCCTCCAAGTGCGGAATTCTGAAGGTGACAGTCGTATCGAGGTTGAATCAATGTATTTCTTCTTTTCGTTCCTCTTAAGTGGCAACAGCTGCTTCTCCTTGTTCTGTAGTCTGGATGCATCAAGCGCCTTCATCTGTTTCGTTAGGTAGATATTGTCAAAGCGGAGGTTGGATAAGTACTTCTTGCTGTAGAAGAATGCTTGAATTAGGACCAACATTATCAAGAAAGACAATACTCTGTTGATCACGTTGACAATAAAGAAAGCTACATCGAGTTTTTCCTTGAGGTCCGTTCGAATACTGTCTAATATCTCCGAAGCGCTTCCAGACGAGTTGGCCTGACCTGAAACTTCCCCTATGTTTCTCAGTTGGAAGTTGAAAAGTCCTTCTACCTTTCTTATTTCATTCAAAACTTCTTTTACTCCGTCAGTTATCGCATTGTCAACCAAGGACAATGGTGAACAGAGGTCGATGCTTTTGAGTCCGTTACATAACTGCCCAGCTTTGAGGACGCTACATATGTCATCTGCTATCGCTCGTGTATGTCTGTAATCAAACAAAAAAACACATTTAAAAGGGATTCTTTACCCATTTCAGAAGTTTTCAAAAACAGGATGTGAAAGTGATCCTGAGTGCATGACACGTTTATTGACAGCAACCGAAGTTCCAGGGCTACTCCCTGCTCTTTCATAGGTGATTGAATAGTAATGATTTTTTAAATTTTTATTCACATTTGATTGTGCTCGTCAAAGTCGTACATCTGCCTCGTCATACTTACAACCAAGTTCGTTAACAAATGTCACTGCAATTTCAAAACCCTTCACTTACAGTATTTGTAATAACAACTCTCTTTTGGCACGTGTGATCATGTCCTGCCATATCAAACGTTTGGATATCATGTTATAGCCACTAATATGGCTATTTATGGATATTTTTATATATGAGTAAATTGTTTAGATGACTGAATATGTGAATAGTTTGTTAATGATGCCTACCTGGTTCTTTTGGCTTGATCAGATTCCGACGGAATGACGTCCCGTTTCCTACGAAAGATAAATCCTTTAAAACCGTCTTTGATTTTATCTACCACATTGCCAGGATTCAGTTTATCTGTTACTGATGAAATCTTCTGTCGACACGATCGCTCAGCCCCACTTAGAACATTGGCACACTTGGAAAACACGGATCCATAGGATGCTCTGCAGACCTTATAAAAAAATATATTTTCAGTAATCAAGAACATAACATACATTCAATCACTCGAAACAGATGAATGATAATTGTTGTCCAAAGTATACAGGCGTGCCAGGGAAACAATGTCAATCAGGATGGTTCACTTCCTGATTAAATCGTCTTTGCTAGTTCACAAATGATATGGAGCAAAACAACTTTGAGTAAAGGTATGCATGGGTTTCCGGAGAGGTTTGTTCTTATTGGGTTTCACTGAAGACAAACGTATCACTACATGTATTGACTTTTTTTAAGAGACGAGGACCGAAGACAAGTTTCATCTATCCAACAGTTTTGAGGCAGAAGGATTGATATAGAATTCAAAACAGTTTGCATACTTTCAACTGAAAGATTAGTTTATAAACTGACCCTCGTGGCTTCCTGAAAAGCACTTGATGCCTTGTCTAGTCCCCCACTAACAGCAGCGAATCCTTCCTTAAGCCCACCGAATGCTTTATTTATTTCGTCGGTTGTATCCTTTATCTCACTGGCAGTCTGAAGAAGTGTCTCCTTGACCTGCTGCAGTGGTTCCTGAAGCCTCTGCTGCAACATCTGACTCTGGTTGTAGGCCAGCTCCGTGATGCACGCCATGGTGTCCGCAACCTGCAACGTGAGCTTCTTGTTATCGGTGAGGTGAAATTGGGTTTAACGTCGCATCCATGATTATTGCACTTATATAGCGGCGTGAGTGCGTACGTGCGTGCGTGCAAGACTGGACTGATGCCGATTTATAGTGATAGCCCACTGAGATACCATGCCGCAGCTTAACATGAATACCCCACTCAGACACAGTATACTGACTCCGAGCCGACCAGTCCTTGCTTTAACCCCTTAGTGCTGAGCGCCAGACAGGGTAAAAACAAGTACCAACTTCTAACGTCTTTTGGTATGACGCGACCGGGGATCGAACCCCGGACCTTCCTCTCTCCGGGCGGACTCTCTACCACTAGACCACGGAGGCGGTCTCTTGTTATCGGGTGTTTTGACATGGATACTCTAAATTTACACCTTAAGCCCAACAATTTCACCTTGTTAAATAAAAATGACAAAATTCATCAATATTCATAAGAAATGTCTGCTAAAACCAGGAACAATAGTACGATTCCGATTATATCATGATCACGTGTTTATTAATCACTATCAAATAGTGGACCCGAGAAGATCCGGGGAAGAAAAGAATAGGTCTTCAACTACCCATGAAAAGGCGACTGTGCTTGTCGTAACAGGCGACTTACGGGATCGGGTGGTCAGGCTCGCTGACTTGGTTGATGCATGTCATCGATCCCAATTGGGTTGATCGATGCTCATGATATCAATCACTGGATTGTCTGGTCCAGACTCGATTATTTACAGACCGCCGTCATATAGCTGCAATATTGCTGAGTGCGGCGTTAAACAACAAACCAAACCAAACACTGGTGAGAATCACATTTTGAACTTACTTCGTTTGTATTATTGACAATGTTGGTAACTGGTCCCATCAGCAGCAGCCCGGCGATGATGGACAAGAACGCTGCACGACCCTTGCCTGTGAATATGCTCACACTCATCAGTGCTGTCACACACCGAGCGCGGACTGACACAGCCAGCAGAACACACATGACCAGAGTTGCTGCCCCTGCTATCCCTCCTGCTACACCGAAGCTGTACTGGAAGCTGAAGTGCAGGGCAGCAAACAGCCCCCCTCCAATAAGGACGCCAACAAGCACGCCTAAAGCAGCTTTTATCCCTCTGTGTTCATCGGTCCTGCTTTTGAACAAACTCTGGCCGAGTTTCCCTAGTGCATCCACGCTTGCTGACAGTTTCCCCTTCGTTCCCGCCTTGTGTTCGGTCGAATCATGTGCTGGGGCTTCATCCTCGCCATCGCTTTTTGTAGGAGAGTTCAAATTGAGAACTTGAAGATTGATTTCTGATACGACCTTCGCAGACTTTTTACTGAGAATAGAAATAAACAGGCAATGTCAGAGATACATAGATAAATGTAATATGCAATGTGCAAAGTAATATGCAAAGTGCAAACAAGTGCAACTTAATATGATACATGACATGGAAATAAACATAACCGAAGACTGAATAAACCGGGCATTTATTGGCAATAACGATATTTGCTCTATGATTATTTACCCCGAGAAAATTCCGGGTCAGAATAGTGTTTGTCGAAAGAGCCGTTCAGAACAGGATCTGGTGTAACAATTTGAAACCTTACTGGTTGCAAATACACTAAACTACGGTTATACCGAACACGCTTATAACGAACTGACTGATATAACGAACTTATTTTTTAGTCCCGGCCATTGGTTGTATATATGCTGTATATATGCTTATAACGAACTACGGTTAAAACGAACTAAAATAAGTGGTCCCTTTGAGTTCGTTATAACCGTAGTTTACTGTACTAAAAGTTTGCTAAAGATGAGGTTTTGATGACATCAAAAAATCTTCCAACAAATACAGACTGAAATATCCCGGAACACAGTCATTGGATAACCCCTATAAGACCTCAGTTTCATGTTGAACCGTCAGAGGCTTGCCGTCATGGGCACGATGTTCTTGAAAACGTGTATTGTGACACAATTGTTGCACATCCTTATCAGAGAGCCCAATGACATTTGCTCCTGGTGATTGCAACAGCTGAATGCACAACAAGAATTAGGCAGATGCATTGGCAGGCTTGATGCTGGGTCAGCACGTCACATGCATGTGGTCGACAGCGTTCCACCACACAGTGAGGAGACACGACGTCATCACTTAATACACACAATTTGATGTATTACCTTTCCAAATGGCGATCCTTAGCAAACTTTGGTAGTACATATCGTCATGGATCGTTGGCCGTGCAGTCAATCATTAGTCTGGTCGATTATTTTAATGGCCGTCGAGAAATAGATTGGTTGGTTGGTTTGTTGTTTAACGCCGCAATATTCCAGCTATATGACGGCGGTCTGTAAATAATCGAGTCTGGATCAGACAATCCAGTGTTTGATAACATGAGCATCGATCCACAAAATTGGGATCGATGACATGCACCAACCAAGTCAGCGAGCCCGACCACTCGATCCCGTTAGTCGCCTCTTACGACAAGTATTGTTGCCTTTTACGGAATCTTCACAGGTAACCGAGAAAAAGATGTATTACTCCCAACTGAGGAACTAAACTTACCACTGAACCAATTTATTTTTACTGAACAACAATAATATGCTTTTACAGGGTAGCTCTTTTATTTGTAACGCCGCACTCAGTAACATTCCCCCTCAATAAACCTGTCTGGACAGGACAATCCAATGATTGATATTATGAGCAATGATCCAAGAATTTGGGGTATGGTGACATGCTATAAACCAGCTCTTACGATAGGCAGAGTTTTCGTGCGACCATTTTTTAGCCCGGAACCCCCAATAGGGTCTTATGCTAGAAACATTGAATTTGAAGACCATTCTATAGAGGACAAAAATGTATTCAACTTTGTGTTCCTAGCTGAATTGCGGATTGTTAAGGCTAAATGTTTCATTTCGACAGTCTTTTAACACATAATGACTGTCCCGTAATTCCGTATATATGAAAAGCAGGATGCATAGATTTTGTTCTGCAAAGGAAATGTATTAGCATTACGTGGATAATTATTTTTACCCATTTTGTCCTTTTGATTTCGCTTGCTTTGGCCTTTCTTCGACGTATTGCTGGGGAAACACACCGGTCTTTCCAGTCCGTTTGTTCAAACCAAGCCACCAGCCATTACCAAGGTCTTCAACGTTCACTAAGACATCATCAACCTGTAGCCCAATCTCGTCCTCCTTCTGGTCGTCATACGGGTACTTTGCCACGTACATGGTCGACTGGTACTCCTCCTATAACATATGTGAATTTATTACCGCTTCTGTCCAGGATTTGGAGAATAACCAATGAAACTAAGAGAAATTACGGGTTATCTGTCCCGACTGAATTATTTTGGGGTTCCGCGTCTTCTGGAAGTTGGGGCGGTCGGGTAGCCTTGTGGTTAAAGCGTTCGCTCGTCACGCCGCTCTTGTGGAAATGACTCCAAACCATTTTCACAATTGCCCGCACTTAATGCTGGGGATACTTGCAAATGGTTATGACATCAAGCTTGTTTAAATACACACATCACGCACCATACACAATACAACCACACACACCACCCATACCACGCACCGCACACACCACAACCACACACACCACAACCACACACACCACCCATACCACGCACCGCACACACCACAACCACGCACTACACACCACAAGCATACACACCACGCACCCATACCACGCACCGCACACACCACAACCATACACACCACGCACCACACACACCACAATCATACACACCACGCACCGCACACACCACAACCATACACACCACGTACCGCACACACTACGCACCACACACACCACAACCATACACACCACGCACCGCACACACCACAACCACGCACTACACACCACAACCATACACACAACAACCATACACACCACGCACCACACACACACCACCCATACCACGCACCGCACACACCACAACCACGCACTACACACCACAATCATACACACCACGCACCGCACACACCACCCACTACACACACCACCCATACGCGCACCGCACACACCACAATCATACACACCACGCACTACACACACCATCCATACGCGCACCGCACACGCCACAATCATACACACCACGCACTACACACACCACCCATACGCGCACCGCACACGCCACAATCATACACACCACGCACTACACACACCACCCATACGCGCACCGCATACACCACAATCATACACACCACGCACTACACACATCGCCCATACGCGCACAGCACACACCACACACCACAACCATACACACCACGCACCGCACACCGCAACACCACTATCATACACACCACGCACCGCACACACCACCCACTACACACACCACCCATACGCGCACCGCACACACCACAATCATACACACCACGCACTACACACACCACCCATACGCGCACCGCACACGCCACAATCATACACACCACGCACTACACACACCACCCATACGCGCACCGCATACACCACAATCATACACACCACGCACTACACACATCGCCCATACGCGCACCGCACACACCACACACCACAACCATACACACCACGCACCGCACATCGCACACACCACAATCATACACACCACGCACCGCACACGCCACAATCATACGCACTACACACACCAACTATACGCGCACCGCACACAAAACAATCATACACACCACGTACTACACACACCACCCATACGCGCACCGCACACACCACACACCACAACCATATACACCACCCATACCACGCACCGCACACACCACAATCATACACACCACGCACTACACACACCACCCATACGCGCACCGTAATCACCACATACCACAACCATACACACCACCCATACGCGCACCGCACACACCACAATCATACACACCACGCACTACACACACCACCCATACGCGCACCGTAATCACCACACACCACAACCATACACACCACCCATACGCGCACCGCACACACCACAACCATACACACCACGCACCGCACACCACACACACCACAATCATACACACCACGCACCGCACACACCACACATACCACGCACCGCACACTCCACAACCATACACACCACGCACCGCACACCGCACACACCACAATCATACACACCACGCACCGCACACACCACCCACTACACACACCACCCATACGCGCACCGCACACACCACAATCATACACACCACGCACTACACACACCACCCATACGCGCACCGCACACACCACAAACACGCACTACACACCACAACCATACACACCACGCACTACACACACCACCCATACCACGCACCGCACACACCACAACCACGCACTACACACCACAACCATACACACCACCCACCGCACACACCACCCACTACAAACACCACCCATACGCGCACCGCACACGCCATAATCATACGCACTACACACACCACCCATACGCGCACCGCACACACCACAATTATACACACCACGCACTACACACACCACCCATACGCACACCGCACACACCACAACCATACACACCACCCATACCACGCACCGCACACACCACAATCATACACACCACGCACTACACACACCGCCCATACGCGCACCGCACACTCCACAACCATACACACCACGCATCTCACACCGCACACACCACAATCATACACACCACGCACCGCACACACCACCCACTACACACACCACCCATACGCGCACCGCACACACCACAATCATACACACCACGCACTACACACACCACCCATACGCGCACCGCACACGCCACAATCATACGCACTACACACACCACCCATACGCGCACCGCACACACCACAACCATACACACCACGCACCGCACACGCCACACACACACAACACACAGCACAAGCATTCATACAACATACCGCAAAACAAAATTATGACCCATTTACTAAAGCACTTGATGCAATTATCTAAACGTTCTCCCACATCGCGAATGTAATATAAACTTGAGCATGCAGATATCAATCTTCAGATGATTGGTCCAGCGTGAACGGTTCCGTCTGTTGTTTCAGAGACTGATTCAATCATACCCCCATACTTGTCTGACATTTACGCTTTATTCAATCAGCAAGTGGATGTCAGAGTCACCACTTAACCGTGGGCTGACTCCATTCAGGTTATCAAAATCAGTTACCAAGATAATTAGTTTACATTGATAAAACGTCATACCACGATCGCTGTTGATGTTACAGCGTTGGAGATATTTCCACACATTAGCATTGTTTTAGTTCGTCTCATTGCGTGATGACTTAAGTTTGATCGAATTAAAGAACAAAGCAGGATGGGGTCCCTTTTTGGGCCACTGGAATTGTCAAATTATAAAGATTGAAATTTTGGAAAAGAATAATGGGATCAAGCCTTTTGGACTTCTGACATTATGAGTGAGTGAGCTAAATTTTATAGTGACATTAGTCATTTAGTGACTGGAAAATATTGAATATAAATATCTAAATACATGAATATGTCGACGAAGGACAGTGGGATAACTAAAATATCATAAAGTTGTATACAAAACTTGTTTTGGAGTATTTAATCCTGACTTTATTAAATACAAACGTACATGTATAGCAGATGAATAAAAAGAGTTGAATTTACGAAAATACTTCTTAGACTTTTTACTTTACTCAAATACTCAAATCTCTCCATTTGTACACAGCAGACGTAATCTACATTACATGTCGTTTTTAGGTCTTTGAAAGGCATTTAGAAGTGATACACATAAGGAAGAGAATTTTATTGATAATAACTTCTTTATTATGAAGAACACAAAGTTTCAGAGTATATGCTTACTCCTTCATCGGGTGAATGTATGCCATGAGGCAGAGAGCATATATATGTAAATGTAAGAACAACAAAATTAATAGATCAGCGGCAACAATCTGTTGGCTTCCCTTGTTAGTTTAACCCTTTGTTATTTTTCACCTTTTGTTATCTATCTTGTCGTCTTTACATGTACATATATATGCTTCCAGCAATATGACGGCGGTCTTTTAAATAATCGAGTCTGGACCAGACAATCCAGTGATTGACATCATGAGCCTCGATCCACGCACTTGGGATACGATGATATGCATCAACCATGCTGTTTGGCGTCAGGCAACAAACAGTTTCTGTTTTATACGATTTGTACGAGTGGCCGGTCATACCATTAGAGCAGGTCATACTTACCCTTTTCATCCGTCATCGATGATTTCAAGTGAACCGTTCATATAATTTACACTGCTATTTTGCCTTTACGCCAAATCTGTTCTCCTTCTACGTTTTATACTTCCGTGACCCAACCTACTTTCATTCCATTGATATAATTTTCCATTTTTCGACTTTCCATTCATATCATGTTCAACGCTATTTAGCCCAATGATCGGTTATTAACTTATGTAAGTCCTGGGAGTCAATACGTGGCCTTATCCTACCTCCTCCTGTAGCTGTTTATTTAATGTGTCCCATTTGTTAATGTACAGATTAATTTCGAAAATCTAAATAATTTGACGACACATCATTATTTCAGCAGACAGTATTGTATGAGTGAGTGAGTGTGGTTTTACGACGCTTTTAGCAATATTCCAGCGGGGGGCACCACAAAATGGGTTTCACACATTGTACCCATGTCGGGAGTCGAACGCAGATCCGCGTGACGAGCGAACGTCTTTATCACTACCGACAGCCCCCAGTAGTGTGTGGAATTAATGCATAACTTTCCTTTAACACAACCATCTGCTTTACATGTATTTGAATTTATTCAGGGACAACTGTGTTAAGACACTGACTATTAAAGGAGGAGTACTATTGAGACTGCATAAACATTTAAATATTTGCAATAGACCTGATAGAGAGTTTTGGAAAACTTCTTGTAGTAACGACCCGCGAAGATCCGGGTTAGAACTGATCTTCAGCAACGCATGCTCCCTAAAGCGGTAGATGCATGTCATCTCATCCCAATTGTGTAGATCGAGTGAGTGAGTGAGTGAAAATTGCTTAACACTGCATCAGTAATTTTGCAGCTATTCGCGGCGATGTGTAGATCGATGCTCATTATATCTATCACTGATTGTCTGGTCCAGACAAGATAATTTGCAGAGTACGGCGTTAAACAACAGACTTAAAGTTAACCTCTTTCATAGAAACGAAAAAGTACTGACACGTCTATCTTCGTCGATTAATGAATTGAAAATGGCACACGATACGAGCGGTACAGTTACAAGAAAAGGTACAGAATGGAATAACACCGTATCACCGTCTGTTGACCAATGCC